ATATAGTAAAGTTTCCCACTGAAAAGTCTGACGCCATTTCAGTAAATTATGACGTTTTTGTGCACAAATCGCATTGTGACGTCGTCGATTTATAGTGGTTGTGGTTTATTGAGTATATTATTATGGCTGTAAGAGCGTAACTTGATTACATACATGTTTTAGGTACCTGAGCTACAGGAACGGGTATAAAACATTCCTTCGGTCCCTGGAAGCGATAAAAATACAATTTCTTGGGATCTCTGGAACAGGTACATAATTCATGTTTTATTTAAGAAATATTTCATGCAAGCCATAGATTTGTTGAAAATTTTAATGTTTTGGGTACCGATAAGCGATAAAAATTACGATTTCTTGGGACCCCTGGAACTGGTATATAATCATGTTTTATTTAAGAAATAATTCATGCAAGCCATAGATTTGTTGAAAATTTTCACATGGCCTGGTTCGTTATATTGGAATTTTATCCCGAGCGTAAGCAATGGATAAAATAAACAGATATAACGACCTAGGCCATGTGAAAAAACAAATCTATGGAATGCATGAATTATTTTGATTCTAATATGGTAAAGTTTCCCACTGAAAACTCTGACGCCATTAGTGGAATCCTTTTCGAGTGACTGAAATTGAAAAGGTTAAATTTCTTTTATTCTGTCTTCTGCACAACGAAACAAAAAGCATGGTGTCAAAGCAACTTGCCTCCTAAAAATTGTGCGTTCATATTACTACAAATAGTTGACCTTTGCGTTGACATTCTTTAAATTTACATCGAATATTTTGAACTAGTGAAAAATTCAAAATGTTATATTGACATCAGTTCATGTTTAAGACAATCTTGATACCTTTCCTGAAATTCTCCAGTCATAAAATCTGTTACAAAAATTCATCCTACAACAGTTTACATACTTTCAACCACGCTCTAAATGCCAGAGATTTCGCAGGTGTGTTCTAGTATAACTTTCAATAAGACAACCTCTGAACATCTGAATTGCTTACACCCACTTCATTTGAACTTAGCTGCTTATAATTGCTTACATCCACTTCATTTGAACTTTGGTGGATAGTTGTCTCATTGGCAATCATACCACATCTCCTTAATTTTATTCTGAAGATTTTCTTGTGAGGCACATGTCATGCATGTGATGGGGTTAAACTAGTTTATATCTAAATTTTTTATAAATTTCAGACAACACCATCTTTACAGTGACCTGTACCGATGTCAGTATTCCTTAGCTACCATGTATCAACGTAACAACAACTTCAGTCAAGCTTTACGTTTCTTAGAATCAGCTCTAAAGAGTGCTTTGAAGTTGAAGGATAAATATCTTGAAAGCGATGTGTATGTCCAAAAAGCTCTTGTAAGTACATAAACAGGTTTATAGACAGCTAGACATTAACTTTTTATTTTAAAAACACAAGCAATTCTTGTGAAATCTCTAAAAATGACAAAGCTGGTTGATGATAAACATTGAATTATTTAAGCATGTTAAAATGATAATCCTTATTGAATTGAGAAGACCATGGGATGAATCATGGCATGGACAAAGCCAGGCTAAATATTTGAATTTTCTCCCTTCATTTCTTTATTTCATGATATTTTAGATGTTTTTTTCTCTATTCTTTATGTCTTTTGTCCATTATTCTCGATTCTTTATATTTTAGCAACCTATTTTTTTCTAATCTGTTTTTTTTTCCCTTTATTCTGCACATTTTGCCCATTATTTTCTATTCTGTAAACCCCATCCAGACCCTCATCTAACTTTTGTTTTTTCAGGTGTGCATCCAAGTAGGAGATATACCTACAAGTAAACATTCATTGAAGAAAGCACACAAACTGGGATCACCTACTCCAGGAGAAACTGAAAGAATTGTCAAATATTTCAAAGCTGGTAACATTAACTTATCTAAAAAAATCAATGTCATATTACAAAAGTCATTTTAGATGATTGTCAATTATTTCAAAGCTGGTTACATATATTTATCTAAAAAAAATCAATGTCATATTACAAAAGTCATCTTACTTGATCGTCAAATAGTTCAAAGCTGGTAACATTAATTTGTTAAGAAAAAAGTCAGTCATATTACAAAAGTCATCTTACATGATCGTCAAATAGTTCAAAGCTGTTTACATATATTTATCTAGAAAAAATCAATGTCATATTACAAAAGTCATCTTACTTGATCGTCAAATAGTTCAAAGCTGGTAACATTAATTTGTTAAGAAAAAAATCAGACATATTACAAAAGTCATCTTACATGATGGTCAAAAATGTCAAAGCTGGCTACATATATTTATCTAGAAAAAATCAATATCATATTACAAAAGTCATCTTACCTGATCGTCAAATAGTTCAAAGCTGGTAACATTAATTTGTTAAGAAAAAAATCAGTCATATTACAAAAGTCATCTTACATGATGGTCAAAAATGTCAAAGCTGGCTACATATATTTATCTAGAAAAAATCAAAGTCATATTACAAAAGTCATCTTACTTGATCGTCAAATAGTTCAAAGCTGGTAACATTAATTTGTTAAGAAAAAAATCAATGTCATATTACAAAAGTCATCTTACTTGATCGTCAAATAGTTCAAAGCTGGTAACATTAATTTGTTAAGAAAAAAATCAATGTCATATTACAAAAGTCATCTTACTTGATCGTCAAATAGTTCAAAGAAGCTGGTGACATATATTTATCTGGAAAAAAGTCATTAGCCAATTTGCGGATTTATTCCTACAGGAGTGACATGGAATAATTAAAACATGGCAAGCACCATGACTTATGTTGCAAAGACTGAATAATCAGGACTTATTTGGTTGACGTTTGTCAAAATTTTTACTCATTTGCTCTGCATCTGACTTGAAGTGTGAAAGATGAATTCTGCATTCACTACAACAAGCATTTTAAGTCAAAATCATCTGTTGTATATCATTTTCTATTAAGTACTCGAAAGACCATGGAAATTTAATATATATCCAATGCTTAACCGATGGAATAGACTTAAGAAATGTACGACATTTGTATGTTAAATATAGCTTTATTGAAAATTCGCCGCAAGGTAAAATAGTTTATGAGCCATATATCAGCCATTTCTATCAGATGTAGAACAATGAAGGAGATTTATGATGCTGATGTTGCTTGTAATTGAAAAAAAATTGTTTTGGTGTTTTTTCTTTGTCTGCAATTTTCTTTTATAAAGACAGTTATAAATCAGCCTTTATTAAATCTGAATTCATGGTTTAAACATCACAAATTTTCCTTTAAAAAATGAATGATAGTGAGTCTGCAATAATCAATAAACATACTTCTCTAATTACAAATCACATGTGGTTGTAAACAGTAGAAAGTGTGACTAAAAAACTGTATCGTGTAAAATTGAAAAAGTAACATTTTTATATATGTCACTGGTATTCTTATCGTTCATCACAAGCATGGTTAGATTCATCTTTCCATGAAACAAAAATAGTGAAAAGAATTTTATAACATTACCTATTAACCGTCAAAATTGTATCAGATTATGAAGAATATTATGTGTGAAGAAAAATTACATGGAAAAAAGGGTTTGTTTCATTTACATGAACATTATACACAAGAAATACACAGAAGAAGTGTAACAACTCTCTTGCATTCTAATAGAAAATTTAGGTCTGGTAATTTTATTTGATACATTTTATTGATTTAACATTACCTGGTAAATGCAGACATATTGGTATGCCAAAATTACCAGACAGTATCTAGATATTATTGAGTGACACCTCTAATTTCTATTCATATTTATTCAAAACATGAATTCAGTAGAAAATAATAGAATTTTACAGAACATAAATTACAATAATGAAATCTATGCTAAAAGAGTTGTATTAATTTATAAATATGAATTTTATCTTTAAAACTATGGGGAAAAAAACCATATGAAACTTCCATGGTTAATAAGAAGAGGAACAGTGAATTTCATCTTAATTGATAAAGATACAAAGAAAAGCTAGTTTTTTTTACAACTGAAACAATGCATTTGTGAACCAGTTTTATTGCAACAATTTAGTATGTTTTTTTCTTCTATTGATTTAACTGAGAAACACAGTGTAGTTTCACCATCAAACTTAAAGAAAAAAACAAAATTAGATTTTTACAGCACTTATACTTGAGTGTGAACAAATATCGATAAAGTTACTTATTTGCCAGTTGAATCATAAAACTTTGGTTACTTCCTATTGAAAGAGTAACAATAAATTCAATAAAAATGATGTGACAGGTAACAAAAATATGACTGGAAAAACTGTGAAGATGTGATATGATTGCCATTGGGACATCTTTCCACCAGAGATTAAACAATGTACTGTGGATTCGTTTATTTTCGTAGGTACATTTGTACCAATTTTTGTGGATTGAAGAAAACTTGCATTAACATGGATATTTATTTCGTGGTTTTTCCAATGTAGGCATACAAGCTTATAGAAAATTAGTAATTCATTGAACATTTAAATTTGTGGTTCAACTGTTCCCTAGAAATCCATGAAAATTGGTATCCCACGAATAATAATGAATCCTCAGTAGAAGTTAGTAACTATAGGTCACTCTACAGCCTTCAACAATGAGCAAAACCTATAAAAGTCCCTGTCTTGACAAATTTAAAACAATTCAAACGAGATACCTAATAGACTGATTTATGTACCAAACAATAAACGAAAAAACAAATATATTATGCAGCAACAAACGACAACCACTGAATTTCTGGTACAAATATGTTAAACTATTTTGTTTCTTTATTTACAATTTCTAACAAAAAATTCATCATTAATCATGGTTCACTTGGTAAACAAGCAAACTTAACTTTAACATACGAAATAAATTAGCAAAAAGTTCAGTTGTAGTGTTCATATGATATATAATAGAAATGTTCAAGTTATTTGTTTCACATTTTAAGATTTAAAGGCAACCTGTATCCCTTGAAATTTTTTCATTTCAGTTGGCAAGATAGAAGAAGCTACAACGAGTTTGGAAGAATTGCCACCTGACAGTAATGCATTGAAGATCAAAATTTATGAACAGTTGGGTGATGGAGCTGCAGAGATTGGAAATTTTAAACAAGCATTGGAATTCTATCACAAAATGGTAAAATATTAGGTGTATCTATTGTAAAATAAGAAATAATTGTGATGTTAAATGCATAATATTATATATAATATAAGCTTCATTAAAATATAACTTGCATTTTAAGTTTTGCTAAGAGGCCCTTTCATGATCATTGCAGCCATATTGAATAGGGGACAGGTTTTCATAATGGAGGTGAAAATGCTTTGAAAAACACAGGAAAACATCATTGAAACAGAACAGTTGGTTGGAAATATGCATAGGTTTCCCCATACTTTCTTTCTATTTCCACTACCATCCAGAAAATCTGCCCCCTATTCAATATGGCTGCAATAACCGTGAAGTGGCCTATTATATGTTTTATAAATGTGTTAATTGATTTATTGTTATGGTTGCTTTATAGAATTACAATAATAAATGCAAACATTAAATTCTGAGTTCACAGTATATTTGATCATAATATGCTTTTAAATATATACAAAATTAAAAGTGTTGTAAAGAACAAAAAACACATGGTTCCTGTATTTAAATCGTGTATATGGGACCGTAGTTTTCACAATAAGATTTGTCACCATTTATTTAGAAAGTCTTGATTGTTGCGTTTTATTAGCTTGGACTGTTGTGTTAAACACTATTTGTAACTATACACTTTTGGAACATGAAGTATTAACTAGTGTTGTGTGATTTTTTTGGACCAGTGGTTGTCACATGAAGATTTGACACTTGATTTAGATAGGTTTGAATGTAACGTTGATCATTCAGTTTGAACTGTTATGTGGACCAAAAGTTGTCTTATTCGAATTTGACATAATTGAGTAACATAGGTTTAATAATGATAATAATAATTCTTTATTTAAAGAGGGTAACACAGTTTTTATAAAACTAATCTTCCCTGAGGCCCTCATGAAATGCATTGAAATATAACAAACCAACAATTACAAAATAATCAAACACACACACACATAAGAAAAATCAAATAAGAAATTGATATAAAATAAACAATTTTCAAAACATTCAAATTACCTCAACAATATTTAAAGTTTAAGTAAGTGTGTTAAAAATTATTATGCATATAAAATTACACAGCTTCTTAATGTTCCAACAAGTAATTTTTTAAATCTTTTTTGAATGAGCATGTACTTGAGGTCGATTTTTTCAGGGACATTATTAAATTATTCCATAAAATAGATCCTGAATATATAAAAGATTTCTTATACAGCTCTGTTTTGGCTTTTGGAACTTGCAGTTTTTTGCAAGACGTATTCCTCAAACAATATTGGTTTATTTCTGGCATTTCTTTAAATTTTTCAGTTATATATACAGGGGCTTCATTCTTAATGCATTTCTGCATCAAAACAGATTTATGGTATGAGATTCTGTTCTCTACTGTCATCCAACCAAGCTTTTTAAACAGAGGTGCTGATGCTGAAAGTGGATCAGCATCTAAAATTAGTCTCACAGCCCTTTTCTGCAATTTCAGTATTCTTACTAGCTCATTTTTAGCACAACCACTCCAAATAATACAACAATAATAAAATCAGTGGAAGAATATAACCATTATAAAACAATTTTCTTGAATCAATATTTAGAAATTTCTTGATCTTAGAGAGTAAATGAAGTCTAGATGATATTGATGAACATAAGCAATTAACATGGCCTGTCCATAACAGATTAGAGTCAATTCTAACACCTAAAAGTTTTTCATTTGATGATTTTTGAAGAATATTATTCTCAATAGTTAGAACTGGTTCTGCTTGATTTAAACGCCACCTTTGTCTTGTACCTATAACCATACATTTAGTTTTATTGGAATTTATGAACATGCTATTTTCATGATACCATTTTTCAACACATTGGAGATCATCTTGTACTTTTAATTGCATATCAGCAATACTCTTTCCTGATGTATGCATAGTTGTATCATCAGCATACAAGTCTGTATGACAGTTTTTGATATAAAATGGAAGGTCATTTATGTACAAAACAAACAAAATGGGACCAAGTATTGAGCCCTGTGGAACACCAAAATTTAGAATTTTTTTATCAGATTACTAATTACTTATATGGACTTGCTGTGTTCTTTCTTTCAAATATAATTTTTTAAAAAATCAACAGTATTGTCATGGAAGCCATAAATTTGAAGTTTTTTACATAAAATTTCATGATCAACAACATTTTACTATAGTGTTGTTTCATATAGTTTGTCTGTAGCATTTAAAGTGTTTAAACATGAAGATTTGACAATCTAGCTACTACTGGTTCATTAATACATGTATTCATCGGATACCAATTTTCGTTGATTTTGTAGGTATAGGTAAACCACAAATTTATATCTTTAACAAAATGCAAATTATCTAAAGGATTGTACACACACTTTGACAAAAGCACGAAATCAAATATCCACAAAAATTTGTACCAACGAAAAGAAATGAATCCACAGTAATTCAGTAAGATTTGACCGTAGTGTTGTATCATTTCAGTTGGACTTTAGTGAGTGATTGATTGATTGATTGATTGGTGTTTAACGCCACTTTCAACACTATTGTGCTATTTCGTGGCGGTCAGTTTTATTGGTTGAGGAAGCCAGAGAGAACCACCAACCTTTGGTAGGAAAATTGACAATCCTAGTCAGTTAAGATTGGAGTTGAGTGCACATGCCCCGTGCGGGATTCAAACTCAAAACCTCAGTGTTGACTGGCTAGTGATACAGTAGTTGGACTACTTAGTCCACTGGACTATATTGTATCCAGTAGTTGTCACATTAATGTTTAACACTTTAACCTTTGGCAGTTATAGTGTATTATTTGGATTTTTTTTTGTAGACAAGTATTTGTCTGAGTAGGATTTAAAACTTTATTTAGTGTTGTTCAACTATAGTGTTTTATGATTTCAGCTGGACTCTAGTATAGAGGAACACTCATCACAAAAGGATTTGATACCCATCTACATATCTCTGGCCCAGACATACACTGATAATAAACAGTATGGCAAGGCTATCGAATATTACAATAAAGAAAAAGAATGTCGGGGTGAAGATTATGGTCAGGTGAGTACTCTATTTTTTTTTTTTTTTAAAGGTTTGTGCATTACTGCTTGCAAGAGGAGACAAACAGATCATATGAATATTTATTACTATCCAATCACAGGGGAGACACAGTGTTAGGTGGAACTCTTTACAATTTGATTAAGGTTTACCCTTGTCTGTTTGTCCTGAATTGGTTTCTGTTCTCTAACTTTAGTTTGTCTCAACCAAATGATATGTAATTTATACACAACGCTTACTACCAACAAACACAGATCAAGTTTGATTTTGGATGGTGTCACTTTAACTGTTTTTCAAGTTATATAAATGGAAAAAATTCTGAATTTGCTGATTCTGCACTCTTTTTTTATTTTGTCTCAACTCAATGTAATGAAACTTGTACAACAATGCTTATTACCAATTTGAGTGGCCTCACTTTCACTGTTCTCTAGTTATGTCACTTTATAAATGGAAAAATTGCTAAATTTGCTGTTTCCACACACTAACTTTACTTTCCCTGAACCAAATGTTATGAAACTTATATTTGACGCTTATTACGACCAAAAACACAGATCAAGTTCAAATTTTGGGGGTCACTGTCACCTTTCTTCAGTTTTGTCCCTTTATAAATGGAAAAAATGCTGAATTTGTGGAATATTTACAAGCAGGGGCATCAGTGTCAGATTGATACATCCCTTCTTTTATTTTACTGTAAATTCACTTGTCAATATTGATTGATTGATTTGTGTTTAACACCACTTTCAGCACTATTGTGCTATTTTGTGGCAGTCAGTTTTTATTGGTGGAGGAAGCCGTAGTGCCCAGGGAGAACCACCAACCTTCTGAAGGACAACTGACAATCCTAGTCAATTATGATTATTTATTATTGAAATTCATATTTTGACCTCTAGATATAGTTTTGATTTGCTGTCTCATTGATATACCAATATTTTCTTCTTTTTTCCATGTTTATGATAATAAAAATTGACAGTAATATAAAAATAAAAAATGTGGTATGATTGCCAATGAGACAACTATTCACTAGAGACCAGATAACGCAAATTTAAACAACTGCTTAAGTTCCTTTGAAAAGATAAAGATATACCTTTTTCTTTTGATAATTATATGTACAAATTCATACCTTCAGAAAATGATTTATTCAGAATTCTATAGAATAAAAGTGATTCCCTAAACAAATCTAAAAAAATGTTGATGTGCAGGGATTTGTTTTGGTTGTGTTATTTTTTTTATTATTTCAACTAGGGACAGATTTTTCTGTAGGCCTCTTTCCTGGTGCCAAATTTTTTCCCAAGAATTTTCAGATGATGATAATAAAAACTAGTCATTGCTCTGTCTCAATCTTACCAGGACATTTGACTAACATCAGACATGGGGTCAATTACTTTTGAAAGTAATTAATTACATTCAATTACAATTATAAAATTAAATTACACATTACATTTGTCTTTTTTATACGACCGCAAAAAAATTTTTGTGGTCGTATATTGGTATGACGTTGGCGGCGTCCTGCGTCGTCCCAAGACACATTGGTTTTCGCACTCTAACTTTAGTTTAAGTGAATGGATCTCTATGAAATTTTACCACAAGGTTCAATACCACAAAAGGAAGGTTGGGATTGATTTTGGGGGTTATGGTACCAACAGTAAAGGAATTAGGGGCCAAAAAGTGGCCAAAAATAAGCATTTTTGTAACTTCCAGACATAACTTGTGTGTTAGTGCATGGATCTCTCTGACATTGTACCACAAGGTTCCATATCACAAAAGGAATGCTGGGATTGATTTTGGGGGTAATTGCCTCAAAATTTTAGGAATTAGGGGCCAAAAAAGGGGCAAAAAACAAGCATTTTTCTAGTTTCATGACAATAACTTGTGTGTAAGTGTATGGATCTTTCTGAAATTGTACTACAAGGTTCCATATCACAAAGGAAAAGCTGGAATTGAGTTTGGGGGTAATTGCCGAAACGTTTAGGAATTTGGGGCCAAAAATAAGCATTTTTTTTAGTTTCCAGACAATAACTTGTGTTCAAGTGTATGGATCTCTCTGAAATTGTACTGCAAGGTACCATACCACAAAGGGAAGGCTGGGATTGATGATGGGGGTAATTGCCTCAATATTTTAGGAATTAGGGGCCAAAAAGGGGCAAAAAACAAGCATTTTTCTAGTTTCAGGACAATAACTTGTGTGTAAGTGTATGGATCTTTCTGAAATTGTACTACAAGGTTCCATATCACAAAGGGAAAGCTGGGTTTGAGTTTGGGGGTAATTGCCCTAAATGTTTAGGAATTTGGGGCCAAAAAGGGGCCAAAAAACACATTTTTCTAGTTTCCAGACAATAACTTGTGTTCAAGTGTATGGATCTCTCTGAAATTGTACTGCAAGGTACCATACCACAAAGGGAAGGCTGGGATTGAGTTTGGGGGTGATGAATCATAAGGGGGTTCAAAAAATTTGGGGGGGGGGGGTTTTCTTTTTTTTTTCTTTTAAAATTTTCCATTTTAAGTTGGTTATTTCTGATTTATATTTAAAAGCAAATAATAATGATATGGTAGGAGATACACACCAAACAGGATGTGTAAATTATTATATTATAAGTATTGTGCAATAGCAAGAAATTTTCAAATGCACAGTATTGCACAATAGCAAGAAATCTTCAATTGCACAGTATTGTGCAATAGCAAGAAATCTTCAATTGCACAGTATTGCGCAATAGCAAGAAATATCCAATAGCACAATATTGCGCAATAGCAAGAAATTGTCAATTGTACAGTATTGCGCAATAGCAAGAAATATTTAATTGCACAGTATTGTGCAAAAGAAGATACTTCATATAAATTGCTTATTTCTTGACCAATTTCAATGGGATTTTATTCTTGAATCTTTAATATGCTGAATCTAACCTTGTATTTAGTTTTTGTCGAGCCTTCGACTTTAGTCGATAAAGCGAGACATAGCGATCCTACATTCCGTCGGCGTCGTTGTCGTCGGCGGCGTCCACATATATTCACTCTGTGGTTAAAGTTTTTGAAATTTTAATAACTTTCTTAAACTATCCTGGATTTCTACCAAACTTGGACAGAAGCTTGTTTATGATCATAAGATAGTATCCAGAAGTAAATTTTGTAAAAATAAAATTCTATTTTTTCCGTATTTTACTTATAAATGGACTTAGTTTTTCTGCCGGTAAATATTACATTCACTCTGTGGTTAAAGTTTTTAAAATTTTAATAACTTTCTTAAACTATCCTGGGTTTGTACCAAACTTGGACAGAAGCTTGTTTATGATCATAAGATAGTATCTAGAAGTAAATTTTATAAAAAAATAAATCCATTTTTTCCTTATTTTACTTTTAAATGGACTTAGATTTTCTGCCAGGAAACAACACATTCACTCTGTGGTTAAAGTTTTAAAAATTTTAATAACTTTCTTATACTATTTTGGATTTGTACCAAACTTGGACTGAAGCTTGTTTATGATCAAATGCTAGTATCTAGAAGGAAATTTTGTTTTCTTCCAGTTAACATTACATTCAGTCTGCAGTTAAAGTTTTTAAACATTTATTAGATTCATAAACTATCCTGGAATTTTACCAAACTTGGACAGAAGCTTCTTACAATCAAAAGATAGTATCAAGAGGAATATTTTTATTGATTTACTTCCTCATTTTTGTTGAGCCTGCGATTAACAGAAAAAGTAGGCGAGACACTGGGTTCCGCGGAACCCGTACGAATTTTTGGATTTTGGGCCCCGTTTTTAAATTGGTCCACATTGAGGTCCAAGGGGTCCAAAATTAAACTTTGTTTGATTTCATCAAAAATTGAATTATTGGGGTTCTTTGATATGCCGAATCTAACCGTGTATTTAGATTCTTAATTTTTGGTTCCGTTTTCAAATAAGTCTACATTAAGGTCCAAAGGGTCCAAAATTAAAGTTAGTTTGATTTTAACAAAAATTGAATTCTTAGGGTTCTTTGATATGCTGAATCTAAACATGTATTTAGATTTTTGATTATGGGCCCAGTTTTCAAGTTGGTCCTAATCGGGGTCCAAAATTAAACTTTGTTTGATTTCAACAAAAATTGAAGATATGGGGTTCTTTGATATGCTGAATCTAACCATGTATTTAGATTTTTTATTTTTGGGCCCCGTTATCAACTTTATCCACATTGAGATCAAAAGGGTCCAAAATGAAACTTTGTTTGATTTCATCAAAAATTGAATTCTTGGGGTTCTTTGATATGCTGAATCTAACCATGTATTTAGATTTTGGATATTGGACCATAATAGGTGAATGTCCAATTTAAAATTTTTAAGTTCTTAGACCACATTCATTCTGTGTCAGAAACCTATGCTGTGTCAAATATTTAATCACAATCCAAATGCAAAGCTGTATCAAGCTTGAATGTTGTGTCCATACTTGCCCCAACTGTTCAGGGTTCGACCTCTGCGGTCGTATCAAGCTGCACCCTGCGGAGCATTTTATTTAACAATGTAATTAATTACTTTCCAACTACTTGGCAAATGTATAGATCCTTGTATGGTATTACTTTCAGAAGTGTTACAAAGAATGTATATTTTCTTTAGGAGTTAAAAGTACATAGGAGTGTATTTTCTACAGGAGTTAAAAGTACATAGGGGTATATTTATCTCTCTCTCTAATTGGCTCAACACCTGTTTAACATGCAAACATAATTGTTGTAAAAACAGTCATTATATAGTTTATAATTAAACAAATAGCCAGAGGTTATATTTGTTGATTGACTATGTCCTTTAAAGTTGATTATGTTAAATCAATGCATATATGTCTAACAATATCTGTCTGTATGTACATGTAGGTAATTAGCTAATTAAGGTATAAGACAGTGACTTACTAATGGTTTCTTTTAGACGCAAATTATGGCATGTTTCAACAATCTTTTTTTTTTCTTCTTTTTTGTCCCCTGCGTAACGCATTGCGGGGAACATGGAAATACCAGGCGTCTGTCCATGTGTCTGTCTGTCCATCTGGTCTTGTTATCGCACTCACAGGTACAATTCTTGCCAGATTTTTATAAAACTTATACTATAAGTTAATATCAGCAATATTGCGGACAAATTATATAATGGTGGCCGATTGACTTTTTTAAAAAGAGTTATGCCCCTTGGAAATATTACATTTATGGAAAATGGCCTTGTTAGCACTCTCACGGGTAACATTTCTTGCCATATTTATATAAAACTTATACTATAGGTTAATATCGGACAAGTTCTATAATGGTGGGCGATCGACTTTTTTTAAAAGAGTTATGCCCCTTGGAAATATTAAACTTATGGAAAATGGCCTCGTTAGCACTCTCACAGGTAACATTTCTTGCCAGATTTATATAAAACTTATACTATAGGTTAAAATCAGCAATATCTTGGACAAGTTCTGTAATGGTGGCCGATCGAGTTTTTTAAAAAGAGTTATGCCCCTTGGAAATATTAAATTGATGGAAAATGGCCTTGTTAGCGCTCTCATGGGTACAATTCTTGCCAGATTTATATAATAAAATTTATACTATAGGTCCCCTGCACTCGCTTTTTATTTATAAATTGATATAAGAACAACAAAAAAAAGTTGGGTTATTTTTAGTTATTGCCCCTGGATAGATAAAATATGTGAAACGCAGGGGACATAATCACATTGTTCTTTTATTACTTGTTCATTCAATACAAAATAAAGAATCTCCCATGGTTTTGTAATTGTCGAGCCTGCGACTTTTGTCGCAGAAAGCTCGACATAGGGATAGCGATCCGGCGGCGGCGGCGTTAGCTAACTTCTTAAAAGCTTTATATTTTAGAAGGTGGAAGGTCTGGATGCTTCATACTTTGTATATGGATGCCTCATGTTACGAAGTTTCCATCAGTCACATGTCCAATGTCCTTGACCTCATTTTCATGGTTCAGTGACTACTTGAAAAAAAAGTTCAGATTTTTTGTAATGTTAAATTCTCTCTTATTATAAGTAATAGGATAACTATATTTAATATGTGCGTACCTTGCAAGGTCCTCATGCCCGTCAGACAGTTTTCACTTGACCTCGACCTCATTTCATGGATCAGTGAACAAGGTTAAGTTTTCGTGGTCAAGTCCATATCTCAGATACTATAAGCAATAGGTCTAGTATATTCGGTGTATGGAAGGACTGTAAGGTGTACATGTCCAACTGGCAGGTGTCATCTGACCTTGACCTCATTTTCATGGTTCAGTGGTTATAGTTAAGTTTTTGTGTTTTGGTCTGTTTTTCTTATACTGTATGCAATAGGTCTACTATATTTGGTGTATGGAATGATTGTAAGGTGTACATGTCTAGCTGGCAGGTGTCATCTGACCTTGACCTCATTTTCATGGTTCAGTGGTCAAAGTTAAGTTTTTGAGTTTTGGTCTTTTTTTCTAATACTGCATGCAATAGGTCAGCTATATTTGGTGTATGGAATGATTGTAAGGTGTACATGTCTAGCTGGCAGGTGTCATCTTACCTTGACCTCATTTTCATGGTTCAGTGGTCAAAGTTAAGTTTTTGAGTTTTGGTCTTTTTTTCTAATACTATATGCAATAGTTCAACTATATTTGGTGTATGGAAATATTTTATGATCTATATGTCAGTCACGCAGGTTTTATTTGACCTTGACCTCATTTTCAAGGTTCATTGCTCAGTGTTAAGTTTTTGTGTTTTCGTCTGTTTTTCTTAAACTATAAGCAATAGGTCAACTATATTTGTTGTATGGAAGAATTGTTAGCTGTACATGCCTGCCTAGCATGGTTCATCTGACCTTGACCTCATTTTCATGGTTCATTGGTCAATGTTTAGTTTACTTGGTTAATGTTAAGTTTATGTGACAGTTGTAATAAAGCTTTATATTTAGGACTGTCAACATAATATCAATGATTAGTAAAGAAGGCGAGACATTTCAGCGTGTGCACTCTTGTTACAGAAAGTATACTGTGTGTGTAGGCTTTGCTTTGTCAGCTACAAAATGTAACTAAGGTCATAGCTTTTCGTCATTTGTTGAGAAAACACAAGATTCAATCTTTCTGATCCAAAATTTCAAATGTAATTGAGTTGTAATTAAAAAGTAATTGTCAATTACAGTCAATTTTGGCTATGCAATTCATTACTTACAATTACTTGTAATTGAAAAAATGCTCAATTACACATTACATTCAATTACTTGAGAAATTGTAATTAATTAAAGTCAATTACAATTACATTTTTCAATTACCCCATTTCTGACTAACATATAAATTCATGCCCTTTGGTTATCGAATATTGTCAACTTTTTAATAATCTAGTGCAGTCTTTGCTTGTTTAAGGTGATATTAATCCAATTTACTTTTTTTCATTAGTCTTTTTTATAATTAGTACTGTTGTCTTGAATTGTAATTGAAATTCTGTTGTATTGGGTTTTATATTAGCTTTATCTTTCTGGTTCAATTTAAGACTTGTATTGTTGCATTATTGTGTGTTCTCCTTTACCTTTTTTTGCAAATTTTTTATTCTCATAGATATGTCGAACATGGTTAAATATAGCAGAATGCCAGGAATTAGATGGTAAAAGTTATGATGATGTTACTATGTGTTATATGAAGGCTTTTGAATGTGCTAGAAAAGCTAACCACTATAAGTTACAGGTAATATTTAATTATGTCAGGGTTATTGAAAAACCACCTTTCCCTCTTTCCAATTCAGTTATTGTAAATTCTGAAATTATGGTGAGGTTTTTATTTACGTGAATAATATGTAACTGGGTGAGGATTGCAATAATAAGAATATCTAATACATATATCTCTATGCAGCTTTTTCTAGAAATCACAATAACTGATCTCACATTTTGTGCATTCTTAAAAAAATTCCAAAAAATAGATACACACTATAATTTATAAATTTACAGTAAATGTATCTGTAAAGGAAAAAGAAAACTCCTAAATCAAGGGGGAGGGGGTATAAAATCTAACAAATGTACTGATGTAATTAACTAGGCTGGGGATAGGCTGGATCAGCTCACAGAAAGTTACATTTATTTGATTTACTACATTCCCTGGAAACTGAAAAAAATCAGAAAAATCAAATTACAGGCATGATAGGTGTAATCTTAATAAAACAGATCTTTAAGGACCATGTCGATATTTTTTATATAAACAAGTCATTGGTTGTTCTAAGAAAAGAATGTTGGAATCCTGTATCATAAATTGATGATAGTTCAATGGCTTCTTAATGTCCAACAGCATATATTAAATGCATAATAAGGTTGATAACATATTCAATACCAAATGAATTTACCCTGCTTTGTACTAACCTGACAGGCCTACCTGTAATTGAATTTGAAACATGCTAGTTCACAAGGTTACTATCCATAGGAAGACATGCCATTGTACATTGACACATTATTCTGATTCCAGGCCAACCTGCTTTAACTCTGAATGTTGAATGCTTGCAGAGAAGCAGGTAATTAAAGGCTGTAGTTTGACTGTGCTTGGAAATTAACCCGTGACCAACCCACACTCAAGGCGACTACACTACCACTACACCACCAAAGGGCCTGAAAGAGGTCTGTTTCACAGAAGTGGGATGATTGTTGTTTCAAACATGTTATCTGTATTTGTAATTTATTTATTTGTCAAAAATAGTTAATATATCTATGAAGACTACAATATAATTTCAGGTTCATGTTTTAAAATCATTGGTAGAAGTTCAAAAGTACTACAGACAGAAAACACACCTGAAACAAACAGAACGAAAACTGGAAAATATTAAAACAAAGTATGATGTGGGCAGTGATGAAGAATTGTCTGAGGAGGAGAGAGACAGTCAGAGGTCTGATGATGTGGATAATCTTAGTATATCAGAATTGTCAGAATCAGGTGAGATATCTACTTACGGTTTGCACTTGGTTTCACTACAAATTCAGTGTATTTTAATCAAAATATACCAATACTATGAAAGGAAGTTGTATTTGCACTTACTTCAGCCAAACAACACTTAACGGAGGCTCTCATCACAGTTTAAAAATACTTTACCAAAAAAAAAAAATGAAAATATAGGATACATGTACAAGAAATGTACAATAAAAAGAATTAAGTAAAGTTAATGTTTTAGTTGATTTTAGTCTCTGATGCATGATTTTTTATTATTAATTGTTTTGGCTTTTAACTAGCTGTCAGTAACTGCGAGTACTCTCAAATCGTACTTTTTTATTTATTTGACCTGTTGATACTAATTGTCATGCTTTTTTGTTATTTAATGTTATTCAGGGTTATATCTTGTCTATATACCAGCTTTGATAAGTGTTTGGTATTACTATAAATTTTCACTTTGTACTATGAACATCAAAATTATTTATTTGTAAAAATATTTCCTTTCTCTATTGGAACTGTACACGTATACCTAACAACAAAATTATTTTCATTTACCTGTGTTTAAAGTTATTGCAAATGGCTGATATTTTTGTTCGAGCATATTGTTTTTCTTAATTTGTTTAACATTTCATATTGATATAACATGTTACTTTTATTGTTCTTCCCTTAGTTTATTTATTTTGTATTTACATTGTATCATAGGTCAAAATTATTTGTTCAGTGTATGTTCACTGGTGTTAATATGTCCTTTGATTGAGTTAAGCTATTTCAGTTGATATTTTATAGTGTGTCTTTCTATGTTGTGATGTTACACTATTGTTTCAGAAAAAGGGTGAAGGTTTGGTACCATTAAAACGTTTAAACCCGCTGCATTTGTTTGCACCTGTCCTAAGTCAGGAATCTGATGTTCAGTAGTTGTCGTTTGTTGATATGGTTCATAAGTGTTTCTCGTTTCTCGTTTTTTATATGCCTGTCAAAATTTTGACGGGACGTATTATGGTATACAAATGTCGTCTGTCCGTCTGTCTGTCTGTCCGGCGTAAACATGTCGCACCGTAACTTGAGAATGACTTATCCAAATTTCATGAAACATAATATAGTTGTTTCTTATGATGGTCAAACGATCTGTATACTTTTTGGTGAAAATAAGATTAAAATTTTTTGAGTTACGGGACTTAGTAACTAAAACAGGTGTGTGTTTTTTTTCACATGTCGCGCCGTATCTCAAAAACAATTTTGATTATTGCTTAAAACTTTACACACTCCTTAGTTATATAAATCTTAAGATCTGTATACTTTTTGGTGATGATTCAAAATTTTATTTTAAAGATATTGAGTATTTTGTAAAAAAAGGGGGAGGAGTTTTTCACATGTCACGCCGTATCTCAAAAACTATTTATGATTATTGCTTCAAATTTTACACACTTCTTAGTTATATTAATCTCAAGATCTGTATACTTTTTGGTTTTGATTCAAAATTTTATTTTTGAGATATTGATTTTTTTTTTTTTAAAAAGGGGGGTTTTCACATGTCGCACCGTATCTCAAAAATGATTTATGATTATTGCTTAAAATTTTACACACTTCTTAGTTATATTAATCTAAAGATCTGTATACTTTTTGGTTTTGATTCAAAATTTTATTTTAGAGATATTGAGTTTTTTGTAAAAAAAAAGGGGGTTTTCGCATGTCAGAACTTATTTATGATTATTGCATAAAGATTCACACACACGACGACGGGCGTATCATGCGCTCATGGCGCAGCTGTTTATTATATAGATTAGACCATTGGTTTTCCTGTTTGAATGGTTTTACACTAGTAATTTTTGGGGCCCTTTATAGCTTACTGTTCGGTGTGAGCCAAGGCTCCGTGTTGAAGACCGTACTTTGACCTATAATGGTTTACTTTTTTAAATTTTGACTCGGATGGAGAGTTGTCTCATTGGCACTCATACCACATCTTCTTATATCTATTAAAAAAAATATCACCTTCTAAATTTAAATTTTATTATGTGTACTTCAATGATTTCCTCCAAATGGGTCCATATGGCAAAATATTATTTATACAATAACCAGGAATCTACTTTTGCATTCAGCAGATTACTGAAATCCTGATCCAAAGTTTAATGTATTTTGTCTTGCCTGCAAAACAAAGTGGTTTCAGCTCTCGAGTATTTAAGTTAAGTAAGCTTTAACAATAAAAATTTAAACATTTCCTTAAATATGGAAAAATTAGTGTGAATTTGATCAAAATTAAAAAAGTTTTTACCACTTTTATAAAATTAAGTATTTAAAGAATTCGTGTAAATCAGGCAGAATCTTCTGTGTTTTTCAAAATATTCTAACATCTGGTTTCTTTTATATGAAATAAGACAGAAAACACAGAAGGAAGATATTTGTAACTGATAGATTAGTTCACCATCATCACTAGAGTTTTATTAACAAGGATTGAATGTCATGGTGAAAGGTCATGGACATAAGCTTTGTTCACATAATAAGTCCTGTACCTATTTATAGATTTTCAATATATAACTTTTCATTCTTGATGGATATTGATAATACTTTCTTCAACTCCACCAGAGAGTGTTCTTTAATATCAACTGTAAAGCCCAAAAAATATAGGTGTGTTAGCTGTCACATGATAAAAAATATAAGTGTTTTTTACGGTCACATGCTAAAAAATATAAAAAATATAGGTGTGTTTAGTGTCACATGCTAAAAAATATAGGTGTGTTTACTTTCACATGCTAAAAAAATTTAGTTGGGTTTTACTGTCACATGCTAAAAAATATAGGTGTGTTAATACTGTCACATGTTAAAAAATATTGGTGAGTTTACTGACATGCTAAAAAAATATAGGTGTGTTAACTGTCAATTGATAAAAAATATAGGTGAGGTTACTGTCGCATGCTAAAAAATATAGGTTTGTTTACTGTCACATGCTAAAAAGTATAGGTGTGTTTTACTGTCACATGCTAAAAAATATAGGTTTGTTTAGTGTCATATGCTAAAAAATATAGGTGTGTTAACTGTCACAGCTAAAAAATATTGGTGAGGTTACTGACATGCTAAAAAAATATAGGTGTGTTAACTGTCAATTGATAAAAAATATAGGTGAGGTTACTGTCGCATGCTAAAAAATATAGGTGTGTTAACTGTCACAGCTAAAAAATATAGGTGTGTTTACTGTCACATGCTAAAAAATATAGGTTTGTTTAGTGTCACATGCTAAAAAATATAGGTTTGTTAACTGTCACATGCTAAAAAGTATAGGTGTGTTTTACTGTCACATGCTAAAAAATATAGGTTTGATTAGTGTCACATGCTAAAAAATATAGGTGTGTTAACTGTCACATGCTAAAAAATATAGGTGTGTTTACTGTCACATGCTAAAAAATATGGGTGTGTTTACTGTCACATGCTAAAAATATAGGTGTGTTTTACTGTCGCATGCTAAAAAAATATAAGTGTGTTTACTGTCACATGCTAAAAAGTATAGGTGTGTTTTACTGTCACATGCTAAAAAATATAGGTTTGTTTAGTGTCACATGCTAAAATATATAGGTGTGTTAACTGTCACATGCCAAAAAATATAGGTGAGTTTACTGTTACATGCTTAAAAATATAGTTGAGTTAAGTGTCACATGCAAAAAAAGACATGATTTGAAGATAAAAAAGATGTATAGTTGTTATTATGCAAGGTTGTCATCCTATAAGAAAACACTTATACATGTATGTTGAATTCTGTGCTTTTCCAAACATTTGCTTTTTGGTTCTTTTCTTTCATAGATTTTAAAGTTCTCAGTTTTATAATATTCCTTTCATATCTTTGAATCCTTTTTGCAATGTGTACACAGTCTTTTCATTTATAGGATATATGTGGCCTAAAAGTAACAAAATAGCAAAAAAAGTTCAGATAGTTTAATCAAATATAACGAAGAAGATTATAAAGTTTTGATATTTAAAAGAGATCAACGTGAAATTTATTTCCTCCTCTGTGGTCATGTGGTAGTGTGTTAACCTGGAGTGTGGAAGGTCATGGATTCGAACCTTGGCCTGGTCAAACCAAAGACTTTAAAATTAGTATTTGCTGCTTCTCCGCTAAGCATGCACCATTAAGGAGTAAGAGCAAAGCCTGGTCTGCTGAGGGTAATGTTTCCGGGAACTGTGACATGTCTCCCTTGGGACTGTTACCTTGTGAACTTGCACATTAAAAATCCAGCTCAAATTGTCAGTCTAGTTCAACGCAGGGTACATATTCATATTACATTAGCATTTTCTCATCCTAAATATGCATTTAACTTGCTGCTGGACCATCTATCCATCCATCAATGAAATTTATTTGACAAATGATAGCTTTAATCATGGTTCAACTAAATCACAGAAGATTTTTAAAATGAGAGAATAATTATGCATTTGTTAAACTGGTTCAGAGATAAATTAAATAAATAAAACAAAAAGTGATAGGAAAGGGTTGTACATGACTTTGTTGAATGCAATATTCTCTCTTTTGGACACACTATTCTTCTGTTAGTGAAGTAAATTATGTGTCTGAAATTGTCATCGTACATATAATGACTAGGGTCATTTTCAGTCTACCGCCAATTTGTAATATTTAGTAATGCTACATAGTACAAAGTTCACCTGACTGTATAGGTAAATTACATTTTGACAAGATTTGGAAAGGAATACATGGAATAGGATTGTCGAGATTGTCGAGGGATAAAGACGATTTATAGTTTGTACTTTAACATTGTCGACGTCTGTGACTTCAGTGACGTCGCCGTGGGCTCTTAGTAGTTGTTATTAAAAGTTATGGCTGAACAGGCGTGTTTACATATCTTAGCGTAAATTGCCACAGTTTGAACCTCTACAAGGATGTTTATACTGCAATTTTTCAAACAGTAATAACGGATCATATTACTCTCATTTCAATGAAGTTACAAATTTTTTGGGGCAATCAGTGAACTTGTCGTTTGTTGATGTGGTTCATAATTGTTTCTTGTTTCTCGTTTTTTATATAGATTAGACCGTTGGTTTTCCTGTTTGAATGGTTTTACACTAGTCATTTTTGGGGCCCTTTATAGCTTGCTGTTCAGTGTGAGCCAAGGCTCCGTGTTGAAGACCGTACTTTGATCTATAATGGTTTACTTTTACAAATTGGGACTTGGATGGAGAGTTGTCTCATTGGCACTCATACCACATCTTCTTATATCTATTCTTTATGTACTCTCATGTAATAATTGATGAAATAAATCAAGACATGTTTGGTTTGCATAAAAGATGTTTTTTTGCAAGATTATACATTCAGTTTACAATGTCTGTACTTAGCAGGGAAAAGAAAATCCAATTTTTGGATTTAAAATAATGTTATGGTTGGCAGCAAAAAATAAGTCCAGTCAGGTAACCGTAACACACATACCTATTTTTTTGCCTAAGAGTGAGGTCACATCTAATTCTAGGTAAACTGCACAAGGCAAATATTTTTTTTCTTGGTTTTATGATATGTTTATACTATTAGTGCAGTTTTTCAAATGTACTTCAGTTTGCACTTTCTTAAGTACAACAAAATAGCTAAACTAAGTGAAATAGTTGTAATTATTATAGGTAAGTGAAATTCCCAATGATGGCATGGTAAATTGTTTATGATAGTGATGTGTATCTGGTTAGTTACATGTGTTTGATCCTAGGGATCTTTTGAAAAATTACTTTTTGGGGATTTTAGGGATAAAAAATGAATATGGGGTAGATGCTAGTATGATCATATGAACTAAAATGAAAAAATATTGCATGTCATTACAAATAACTTCAATATCTTTTGAAGTTTTGTTATATTTCAGTCTCAATACATTCATCTTGACATACTTTGTACTTACAGAGGAATCAGAGGAAGAAGGAAGTAGAGTTAAAACTGGGTCAAGGAGGATGACTAAGGCCAGGGCCACTGTAAGTGTAATCTGAAGTGGTATCTTCACCTAATAGAAATGTTGCTATAATTAACTGTTTGTTCAATGATTGGTACATATCTTTAACCACAATGCACATTAAAGTTCTTTCACTTAACCTCCCCATTGTAAAGGTCAGTGTGAACTGTTTTCTTTTTACGATATGCCTGTTAAGGAATGCTGGGAAAATCTTGAGGGCAAATGCTCTGAAAATCAATATCTATAAAAATTGTCAGCAGATTCCTTATTGGAATTGTTATACTTTGACGATTTTTAAGAATTTTTGTCAGATGAATGATTCAGGTTCCTTGGAGCCTCTATTTTTTGTTGTCCATAATACCTCAATTAATCTCTTACAAGGTTACAAGTACAAATTGTGAATGTTTTATCAAACAAGCAATAATGAATTGATCACTTATACAATTGTCTATGCAGATTTACAGGGAACAAGGTGCAAGATGGGGAAAAATACCAGTTTTTCTCTATTTGAATGTGGAAAAACATGTATTTATGTGTAAATAATTTGATAAATGCAGGATACTTTATAATAAAAAAAATTTTTGTGTCTCGCCTACTTTTGCTGTAACAAAAATTGGGAAAAAATTATTAAAAATTTTCCTCTAGATACTATCTTTTGATTGTAAGAAGCTTCTGTCCAAGTTTGGTAAAAATCCAGGATGGTTAATGAATCTAATAAATGTTTTAAAAACATTAACTGCAGACTGTATGTAATGTTAACTGGAAGAAAAACTAAGTCCATTTATAAGTAATATACGGAAAAACAGGAAATAAATTTTTACAAAATTTCCTTCTAGATACTAGCTTTTGATCATAAACCAGCTTCTGTCAAAGTTTGGTACAAATTCAGGATAGTTTAAGAAAGTTATTAAAATTTTAAAAACTTTAACCACAGAGTGAATGTAATGTTAACTGGCAGAAAAACTAAGTCCATTTATAAGTAAAATACCGATAAACAGGATTTTTTTTATGGCCAAGTGAGCTTTTCTCATCACTTGGCATCCGTCGTCTGTCGTCGTTAACTTTTTACATTTTGAACTTCTTCTAGAGAACCACTGAATGGAATGAAACCAAACATGGCATGAATGTTCCTTATGAGGTGCTGACCAAGTGTTGTTACTTTGAAGCTGATCCATCATCCAAGATGGCCACCAGCGGGGGACTTAGTTTAACATAGGACCCTATGGGAAATACATACAAATGTCTTCTTTTAGAGAACCACTAAATGGAATGAAACCAAACATGGCATGAATGTTCCTTATGAGGTGCTGACTAAGTGTTGTTACTTTGAAGCCGATCCATCATCCAAGATGGCCGCCAGTGGGGGACTTAGTTTAACATAGGACCCTATGGGAAATACATACAAATGTCTTCTTTTAGAGAACCAATGAATGGAATGAAACCAAACATGGCATGAATGTTCCTTATGTGGTGCTGACCAAGTGTTGTTACTTTGAAGCCGATCCATAATCCAAGATGGCCGCCTGTGGGGGACTTAGTTTAACATAGGACCCTATGGGAAATACATACAAATGTCTTCTTTTAGAGAACCACTGAATGGAATGAAACCAAACATGGCATGAATGTTCCTTATGTGGTGCTGACCAAGTGTTGTTACTTTGAAGCCGATCCATAATCCAAGATGGCCGCCTGTGGGGGACTTAGTTTAACATAGGACCCTATGGGAAATATTTACAAATGTCTTCTTTTAGAGAACCACTGAATAGAATGAAACCAAACATGGCATGAATGTTCCTTATGTGGTGCTGACCAAGTGTTGTTACGTTGAAGCCGATCCATCATCTAAGATGGCAGCCAGAGGGGGACTTAGTTTAACATAGGACCCTATGGGAAATACATACAAATATCTTCTTTTAAAGAACCACTGAATGGAATGAAACCAAACATGGCATGAATGTTCCTTTTGAGGTGCTGACCAAGTGTTGTTACTTTGAAGCCAATCCATCATCCAAGATGGCCACCAGCTGGGGACAAGTGTTTAACAAAGGACCCTATGGACAATACATACAAATGTCTTCTTTTAGAGAATCACTGAATGGAATGAAACCAAACATGGCATGAATGTTCCTTATGTGGTGCTGACCAAGTGTTGTTACGTTGAAGCCGATCCATCATCTAAGATGGCAGCCAGAGGGGGACTTAGTTTAACATAGGACCCTATGGGAAATACATACAAATGTCTTCTTTTAAAGAACCACTGAATGGAATGAAACCAAACATGGCATGAATGTTCCTTTTGAGGTGCTGACCAAGTGTTGTTACTTTGAAGCCAATCCATCATCCAAGATGGCCACCAGCTGGGGACAAGTGTTTAACAAAGGACCCTATGGACAATACATACAAATGTCTTCTTTTAGAGAATCACTGAATGGATTGAAACCAAACATGGCATGAATGTTCCTTATGAGGTGCTGACTAAGTGTTGTTACTTTAAAGCTGATCCTTCATCCACGATGGCCGCCAGCGGGGGGACTTCCTTTAACATAAGACCCTATTGGAAATACATACAAATGCTTCTTCTAGAGGTGCACTGAATGGAATGAAACCAAACATGGCATAAATGTTTCTCATGAGGTGCTGATGAAGTGTTGCTACTTTGTTGCTGATTTACTGCTCAAGATGGCCACCTGGATTTTTTATTAAATTACAGGGCCAATATTAAACCAAATTTGGCCTCACTCATTATTAGGGTATCTGTTATGATTTTAATCTATTTTAACATGATTTCTAAAACCAAAGTAGAATCAGGTGAGCGACACAGGCTCTTGAGAGCCTCTAGTTACAAAATTTACTACTGAATACTATCTTATGATCATAAATAAGCTTCTGTCCTAGTATGGTAGAAATCCAGGATATTTTAAGAAAGTTATTAAAATTTTAAAAACTTTAACCACAGAGTGAATGTAATGTTAACTGGAAGAAAAACTAAGTCCATTTATAAGTAATATACGGAAAAACAGGAAATACATTTTTATAAAATTTTCTTCTGGATACTATCTTATGATTATAAACAAGCTTCTGTCCAAGTTTGGTTGAAATGCAGGATAGTTTAAGAAAGTTATTAAAATCTGAAAAACTTTAACCAGAGTCAATGTAATGTTAACTGGCAGAAAAACTTAAGTCCATTTATGAGTAAAATACTGATAAACAGGATTTTTTTTTTACAAAATTTTAATTCTGGATACTATCTTATGATCATAAACAAGCTTCTGTCCAAGTTTGGTTGAAATGCAGGTAAGTTTAAGAAAGTTATTAAAATTTCAAAAACTTTAACCACAGAGTGAATATTTGTGGATGCCGCCGCCGACGATGCCGACGGAATGTAGGATCGATATGTCTTGCTTTTGCGACAAAAGTCGCAGGCTCGACAAAAAGCTGTATAATTGCAAATTTTGATATACATGTATCTATGATAAAAGGGGAAAAAGTTGATTGATGGGATTTCATTGACAAATGGTAATTGTGATTTTTATATTTTGTATCAATATATAGGTTCTTTTACTAAACCAAGCAATAAAAATATTAAAATATATGATTGACTGACAAAATTATTGAGAGAAAGAGAATATTTATGTTTAATATACAAAATGGGACACATGTACAAACAAAAATATTCTGAATTTACAAACTTCTTTATAATAAATTGAAGAAAATTTACACCAGTCATATCATCTTTGACTTGGTATATCTTGACAAACAATTTCATTGTTTTAACTTTCAGTTTGATTAGTATCTCCTGATCTTTTAAGAATGACAGTGTTTTAAATTAATTTTCTATCATTAGTCAGTCTTTGTTTTAATAAATAGCTGTGGTGTCATTTTCCTCTTCAGAATGTATTTCCGAACCATTTAAAACTTTTAATCTATATACTTCAGAACAATTGCCAGTTTCTTCGTCTTTTCTTTTAATTATATTCCTGCAAGTTGTTTCAGTGTTTTGACCTTGACTGTAAACATTTAACATTGTCACAATGTCGTGTCTTCCTATTATATCCATTAGGTCTGTAAATTGAGTTATGTTTTCCTCGGAGTAGAAATTCCTTTTGAATAAATATCGACACATGTCAGATGGGTGTTTTAAGTTTTCAAACGTTTGTCCTTTCCCAAAGTCAAAATTATTTAGTTGAATTGCAAATTTCATATCCGAAACATCTCTTTCATCCAGATTCTGAACGATTTTGCACATCAAGTGTGAAAACAATGAACATTGTTTGCTTTGACTTGACATCCTTTAGGATATTAATTACATTTTGTCAAGATTTGTATTTTTATATTGTCCATGTATAATGCTTGTTACCTTTTGTTAAACTGACCTAATGAAATATTATTTATGCATGTATTCCAATCTATGACGTCAAGTGTGTATTTCCAGATTTTCTCATTTTAAATTTTTTTATTTTTGATATTTTTAAATTCTTGTCAATGCTTGCCCTTTCAATATGTTTAAATATGTTTCAAAAGGTATTTTATAATTTATATATATATGTTACACCCGTTTATAACACTAACCTTATGTAACACTGACCTAGTAAAATTAAAAGAATGTCGAGTATTAATTTCCTGACTGTACCACATTTTTGTGATAATCATAAGTATGCATCATTACAGTACTTGAAATTTTAAATGTTTTATTGAAATGAAGAATGAACTATCAGAAATTGAAACAAATCAATCTCCAGCTTAAATCACCTTCTCAGAAATTAAAAACTTTCTGTGCAAGTTTGTTTATTTTTACATTCTGTATGTCTCAGCAGTATATATTATTATTTGCATTTATTCATTTGCTCTCCATGTGCATTTGCAAATTTCATGCTATAATTTAGGTTTGCTTTGACTCATTCCCAAAACAGGTTTCTTTATATCAAATACTTTGGAGGTAGCATTAAAATATGAAAACTATATAAATTATCATCAAGAATCTTAAATCAGAATCACTGAAAATATGATTTTTTTTAAACTTCAGTAATATTGGGCATTTGCCCTTCAGGAATGACAGATTAGTCAGGGTCCTTTCATTATTTTCGTAAATGAAATCTCATGAAATCTCATGTAATTTAAATTTTTTTTTGCAATATTATTAGCCATGGGCTTCCAAACCAGGGTGGTTATCCTAGGTCAGGGGAACAAATTTGGTAATTTAATGTATGCCCAAAAAGGGTTTTTGTCTCCTATGTGACTAACGTCGTGGAAGGCCAGACATAGGTATTACTTTTCTGGTGATGTCGGCATCAACAATTGTTAAGTTTTCTGCTTAAGTTAGTTTGATAGGAACTACTTGTGATAAATCAATGATATTTTGTATAAAGTTGCATTGCTATCAGTATATATCAATTTGACAACTATTTGGAGGCCCTGCCCCCTAGGTCATGGTCCAGTGACTTTGAATTAATTAGCAATTTTCAATGTCATTGACAAGTTTTCTGCTTAAGGAACTACTTGTGATAGATCAATGATATTTTGTATAAAGTTGCAGTACTATCAGTACATATTAATTTGACAACTATTTCAAGGCCCTGCACCCTTGTTCATGTTCCAGTGACTTTGAATTAATAGGCAATTTTCAATGATAAGTTTTCTGCTTAGCCTTAAGTTAGTTTGATAGGAACAACTTGTGATAGATCAATGATATTTTGTATAAAGTTGCATTACTATCAGTACATATCAATTTGACTTTTTTTTCGAGGCCCTGCCCCCTAGGGTATGGTCCAGTGACTTTGAATTTATTAGCAATTTTCAATGTTCAATTTTCTGCTAAAGTCAATTTAATAGTAACAACTTGTGATAGATCAATGATGTTTTGTATGAAGTTGCATTACTATCAGTACATACCAGTTTGACAACTATTTCAAGGCCCCACCCCCTAGGTCATAGTCCAGTGACTTTGAATTAATAAGCAATTTTCAATGTTAAATTGTCTGCTTAAGTCAGTTTGATAGTAACTACTTTTATCAGATAGACAATGATATTTTCTATAAAGTTGCATTATTATCACTATATCTTAGTTTGTCGATCATTTCGAGGCCTCTCTCCCCAGGTCATGGTCCAGCAACTTTGAATTAATTAGCAATGTTGTTGTCTTTTTCTGAATTTTCTGTAGACTGGCGAGACATATCTCTGTGTTAATAGTTTATAATGTATATTGGGATTCTGGATAAAGTATCGCAATTTGGTGACAATTTTTGAATTCTCAATACTTTACCATTTACAAATGTATACTCACTGGAGCATAGTCCTTCTTTAGGAATTGTTTTTGGATGATAAATCAAGTATTCCGTTATGAATTGTAACAGATTTATACAGGTGAAAAATTAGCAATAATAGTACTACATGTTTTATTTGTCCCTCCATTTATACTAGTATTTTGAATCCTTGAAAACAAAATCTATTCTTTCAAAAAAGTGCCGTTCAGGGAGGAACAGATGGGAATGCTTGATTTTCACTTATTGATACATATTCTTAAGGTTGATAGATGTTTTTTTGAAGATTTTTTGTAGTCTCAGGATTACAAAATTTTGTGAAATCTGTTTGTCCTACTGACACAGTCCTACTGTATGTCATTAGGATTTTATTGACATGGTAATTGTGCTTTTATCTTCTGTCATGTGTTTGTATTTATGTTTTATAGGTAATTTTTTACCAAACCAAGCAAAAGATATTTTTAGAATAGAATTATTGTTTGCGGTAACCCTTTTAAATTTAAATGCATGATTATTTCTATTTCAGACTTTAACAAACCTTGGACAGAAGCCTCTTCATAATCAATTAATCATATAATAGTAATCATTATATGTAACATGCCCTTTATCTGCCGATTATTAGTCCCCTACCGACGAAGTCGAAGGGGACTTTAGGTTTGCACTCCGTCAGCCTGTCTGTCTGTCTGTCTGTCCATCCGTCAGTCCGGCAAATCAGTTTTCCACACTTCCTTTCTTTGTGCTTGAAGATATTGATTTGATAATTGGTGTATAGTTTTATCATGACAAGTTACAGATCAAGTTTGAATTTTGTACCGGTCTGATGATTTTGTGCAGAGTTATGGTCTTTGGACTTAGAAAATTCACTTAAATAATCATTTTTCAACACTTTTTTTCGTCATGCTTAAAGATATTGACTTGATATTTGTTATATAGTTTACACCATGACAAGTTATAGATCAAGTTAGCACTTTGTTCCAGTACAATGAGTTTTTAACCGGTAGGGGACTATGTATTGCCATGCAATACTCGCAGAAGGCTTGTTTTTTTAATAAGATAATTTTATGCCCCACCTAGGGGCATTATGTTTTTCCGTCTGTGCGTCCGTTGATTCATTCGTTCGTCCATCCGTTGTCCGTCTGTCCCACTTCAGGTTAAAGTTTTTGGTCGAGGTAGTTTTGGATGAAGTTGAAGTCCAAACAACTTGAAACTTAGTACACATGTTCCCTATGATATGATCTTTCTAATTTTAATACCAAATTAGAGTTTTGACCCCAATTTCACGGTCCACTGAACATAGAAAATGATAGTGGGAGTGGGGCATCCGTGTACTATGGACACATTCTTGTTATTTGTAATCAAGAGATGGCACTCTGATCAGTAATATTAAGTTTTGTTTTGTTTTTTGTTTTGTTTTTTATTTTACTGATAAATGGTTTTTTTTGGCAGTCAACATTTCACTTACACTTACAGCAGCTATTGCAAGCTAGACACTGTTCTGTGGAATCCTTTACAAACTTTTAATTTAGTTGTCATAATGTAATCTGTCAAAAGAAGTTCAAAGTTTCCAAATGTTATATTTAGTATTGGGGTTTTCAGAAGTATAATATCAGCAGGTGTATGTAGTTGTGTTATTTCAATATAGCAGGAAGGAAGCACTCATGGTGGGTGTGAATTTTTCTCTCTCATTCAAGTAGTATTAAGTAATACAACTTATTGTCAATTATCATCACATGATGTCATTACAACACTTTTTACTCTTTTATCTCACCCTTTTAGTTCACCTGGTCCTAAGGACCAGGATGAACTATTGCCATCACTTGGTGTCCATTGTCTGTTAACTTTTACATATAAACTTTTAACTCTGAAACTACTGGGACTTTTGGAAACAAAAATCAGGATCGGGGTATCTAGTTTACAAAATGTGTCTGATAACCAGCCTTCTAACCAACATGGTCGTTATATGCCTCAAAATAGAACATTATACCTACTGGCCATTTGGACAAACCTTTGTGACTGTTTCTACCCTTCTGCAGCTGTTCTAATGGAATAGTCCTAAGAGGCAAATCAGAAAATCCGACCACCATGTTATTGCTAGACGAACAAGGATTACTGATATCAATAAATCTTCTTCTTCATACTTTCACTTCATATAATAAGCATTACATTTTGACTTGATACTTTGAAACAATTGGTCAGCTTCTTTGAGATCACATGAAATGGACAATCTTACCTTATACTTCAGTGGTGCCGCCATAAGATAACTAGATGTACATTTCCAATGTTCACAGCCATGGTCAGCTTATTTTTTATCACTAGAAATGGACAATCTTACCTCCCACTTCAATGGTCATTTGTTTACTAATTTATCATCCGGAATGGAGGCGATTGTAACAAGATTTTCTATTTTGATTTTAATTTGAACAAAAGTGCTTTCAAAAGTTCTAAACTCTTTTTTTGTAATGAAATATTTGTGTGCATCTAGCACCATCAATGCATTTTAAACTTCTCCATATGTACCGGGGTAAATGGTGCATATGTATACATTAGTTACATATGTCAAAGTTCAACTTTTTATTTTTCAGAGAAATGAAAAAGGAGAAACTCCATTACACAGGGCTTGCATAGAGGGTAATCTGAAGAAAGTTCAAAAGCTGATTGAACAGGTTGATATTATTATATTTTTATCACAAAACTTTTAACTGTATTAACATGATTAAAGACCATCTGCCAGTAGGATGCAGTTGAAGATGTCAGTGAAGAAACAAAAATTGATCTCCCTTGCAAATTGAACACCACAAGGAAGCTGTTGATTAAAAGTTCGCTAGAAAATAATTTGGTAAAAATCTGTTAAAAATGTGAAAACTGGTTTCAAATTTCATGAGCATATGTTGCAATATGTGGTATCAGTTTGTATTACCATGATTACCCCAATAACAGTGTTTTTGCCCACTGGCATTCCTTTATTATTCAGAATAAGCTACTTAGTATCTCAGGTTCAAGAAAACTGTAAGGCTCATGATTATGAATTCTTATAAAAAAAATTCTTTTGAAATATATAGTTCTTTCTTGAAAAATCACTTTTGAATCTGATTTTAAAATTACAATTGAATACCAGTACAAGTTATTTCCCTTTCTGGGAATTATACTGGTAAAAGTAATGAATGCACTACAATGCAGAACGAAGGTATCAAGTATATACAGTCAGGGGACTTACTTAAATGAGTGATTTTCTAAATCACTGATTCAAGTAACATTATGTCCATAAAGGTTGGAAGTAAGAGTTGTCTTTCTTTAATAATCACCTATTTAAGTAGTACAAATTAATCACTAGACTAAGTGATTTTATTTTATTGTAGCTTTAAATATAGAATACTAATGATCCAGGGACTAATTATGTTGCTAAAATTATCAGAACCAACATCTGTGTTGATAGGATGACCGGGTCATGTCAGGTGATTACCTTGTACTAAATCTAGGATAATGACATAAAAATCACCTGTTTAAGTATCATACCTCAATTTCCTTCCAAAAAATCACTTCTTTAAGTATCATTATTTTAATAACCCCCACTAATTTCAACACCCCCGAACAGTGAAATTTTAATCGCGAACAGTAGAATTTTATTACATAATCTATAAGATGAAACCTTGAATTTTACAGGAAAAATACTCTCACTGCTGGGAAAAATCTGTTAAGAAAGTATCAGTTCATTATGTAAAGCCATTTTTGTAGCATTTTTTCAACTAAAATAGAATTTGCAGCTAAATGATTGCATCAAAGGCATAAACCTTGCTGCTTAAAAGAAGCAAAAAGTTCCCTTTTTTCAATTTTACTAATGAAAAGATATTATCTAAACCTATGTGTTTAAAATTTTGGAAAAACTAAAAAATTACAATTTGTGACAAAACTTCGAATTTGCTACTTAAATAAGTGATTAAAATCACTTATTTCAATAAGTCCCCTGACTGATATAGGAAACTATGTGTTACTTTAATTTCAAACATTTCCAGTTTTATAACCCAGTTTGATTACAAGTTTGAAGGCAAAATACTTTAATCATTTCAAAATTTATATAAGCCAAATATCACTATAAATTAAGTGATTAAAAACTGTTTATCATTTATTGCTGGATAAAAAATTCATTCAACTGGTGCTGATTGAATGAAAGAATCCAAATTATTTCTTCTTTGAGTGTGAGTCATTCAGCATTTAAAAATATATATAATTTTATAAGAATCATTCAAGTATTTTGACTGGATTTATAATGTATTTCAGGGTCATCCTGTAAACCCTCGTGATCATTGTGGATGGATACCATTACACGAGGCAGCCAACCATGACATATATGACATAGTCTTGTACCTACTGGACCATGGAGCAGCCATTAATGATCGAGGTGGTCAGTACTGTGGAGGAGTTACTCCTCTTATTGACTCTGGTAACTGTGGCAACATGGATATTATGGACTTGTTAATTGAGAGAGGAGCTAACGTCTTGGCCAAAGATGATGAGGTTTGAATGCATTAGTAAACAGATTCTAAAGGATTTTTATGCCCCCATCGTCATCGGAGGGGGCACTTAGTGTTACCCTTGTCCATTCTTCTGTCCGTCCGTCTGTATGTAGGTACAAACGTCCCGAAATTGGTTTCTGTTCTGTAACTTTAGTTACCCTAAACCAAATGTTATGAAACTTAAACACAATGCTTATTACCACAAAACACAGATCAAGTTCAAATTTGGGTGGCGTCACTTTTTCCGTTCTTGAGTTATGCCCCTTTATTATGTTATATGCAAGCAGGGGCATCATCTGTGTCCCATGAACATATTCTACGTTTATTTTTTATATGAATCAATTTGAGAAATGTGAACAGACATATATTAGTCTTATTTCGTGTGTCTATTTTTAATTTCAGTTTGAGTAAGTTATAGTACCCTCACTCACGCTGTCTGTCAGTTCTTTCATGACATATTACTGAGTAATACTCGTTGTCTGTCGTAAGGAATTACTCATTGTTGAATACTGTGGTATGAACATTATAAATTTTGTTTTCACATAATGGGTTACATAAATATGTCTCTATTATTTGTTTACTTGTGTTTCTTGGTTGCTGTCAAATTGACATTTGCATGGAATCCAGTTTGTCCCCAGTTAAGTTACAGTAAAAAAGTTACTAAAGCTAATGAGTAGTTGCTGAATTATCTCCAAATCGAAAAAATGTACATGAGGGACTGAATTTTGGGCTATATTTCTATATTCTTGAATTTTTCTATAATCTTTATTTTTTGGCCTATTCTTCCCTAACTTTAAATTTTAGCACCCATTCTTCTCTATTATTCTCTATTCTGTTAACCCAATTAAGACCCTCATATATCTCTTAAAAGAAGGAATTGTTTGTTTAATCTTAAGCTATTTCTGAGACAGAACAAGACATTACTGATTGGTTTTTGCCAATTTTAATGATAGCAATACAGTTCTTATTATAATGATAAAATAATGGGGGGAAAAAAGGTTATGGGTTATAAATTCATGTCGCAAAATCTCTTACACACACACAAAAAAAACAAATGCAAAGGAATAGTGGTTTTACTGCTGTTTTTATCTCAAAGCCACAGTGAAGTCTTCAAATGTAGCAAAAACTCTCACCTCACCGCAAGTTCAAGATGGCCATTATGGCCCCTAGCACAGGTTTGAGAACAACTATTTGCTAGATGTCTATCATGCTACATCTGTAAATTGAAGAACACACCAATTGTGTAATACTGTTATTATATCTGGCAAAGTAATCTTAACAATACTGTAATAAATGTTTTATAACTTAATTTTTGAATTATCAGGGTAACACAGCTTTGGATTGTTTGAGAGCATGGAGAGACAGGTGTGATAATTTGGACGACGAATTAGTGAAGAAATTTGAACATACAGAGACATTACTGGCGTCTAAAAAGAGAGGTAACCAATGTCAAGAAGTCAGAATTGGATATGAAATTGTATTTCCCCTATTAAATAGAAAATTAAATGTTCAACGAAATACATATTTTCTTAAGCCTTGTATGCAGAATTTTGCAAAACCACAAAATCAAATATCTATGAAAAAACAATATTTCCTCAATCCACGAAAATTGGTATCCACGAAAATGAAAGAATCCACAGTAGCTTATATTTGAGAGCAGGAAAATAACATGAATTTAAATAGTTGCACCTATGTCAAGCATGGATCTTCTCTTATTGGACAATTCGTGAATACACTAACAAAGTTTTAAAAATCGTGAATATAAATTGTTGGTTTTTAAAATTGGTTGAAAGGGTCTAAACAGAAAAGCAGAAAAATAGTATCTGTAAAAAAATAAATTGGTCCACAGTATTGAAATAGAATTTTTATTTGTGACAATATCTCATCAAATACAAGAAAATTAGGAGTACATCAAAGGAAGCACTTTCATATCTGTCCATTGTGAACTTAAAATTAATACCGAAAACTGACACTAACATTGTCTTGAGCTGTATTGAGCTTAAAATTGAAAGAGGAGAAAGAAAGTATTCACAAAAATACTGAACTCAAAGGCAAATTCAAAAATGGGGAAGGAAGTCCATAAAAGCTGACATAATCAAACATTAGACCATGAATTATAATTTTAGACAAGAAAATATTGTTTAAATGGGCATTAGCTGTCAAATTCATGTTCACCGATTTGACTTAAATTCTCATATTTGATTTATAACATACTAAAACGTATATCCAAATTACAAAAAGTCTAAAATAAACAATTAACAATGCATGGACTTGATAATATGTGCCAACATTTTGTGTGTATTTTTGTCTAGAAATCATCTAATTAACCACCGAGATGACCTCAGATGACTGCCGACGTTTATATAACCTGATATAAACATAAATATAAATATAAATAGATAGTGACCACGTGCAAATGGATTTTTTTTAGGTCTGTTTGATTTCATATTGAAGGTTAAAAAGTATGTTGATCATTGTTTTTACCTGTATAAGAATGATTTTTTGTTTGACATACAGTCAACCAAATGGTTCATCTTTGTTTCACTTTCAGTGTTGACATTCTTTTCCTTTTAATAGCTGAATACATGCGTAACCTCTCTCCAGCTAAGAGGGTAAATTTAAGGTCACATGAATATGTTTTCAATGAGGTCAAATTATTCACTTGCAGTGAATAATTCATAAGCGATGTTTCTTTGCTTATTTGGACAAAATTGAACCAAACTGGCTGCTAAAAGATAATTATTATTTCACTATTTAACATTTATTAATGATTGAACAAAAAAAATCATATATTTTTTTTTTTATATCTTGTAGCTAATGCCTCTTTAAAGAACATATGCAGATATTTCAAATAAACTGAAAAGAAATTTGAAAAGCTTTCCAAATGCTGTCAGTAATATACTAATATAATCATATACCCTTATGTGTGTTTGAGGTAAAAAGGTCTGCATATGACCTTTAAAAATGTTATCTAAACTTTTAATTTTTACTGAAGGTAAATATTTTTACTAAGTTATTGATTATGGGTTGCTTGACAGATTTTGAGCAGGCAGCTCATATAATTTTCATGTAAAAACTGTTCAACCTATTCTTTTTAAATTTCAATATGTTACTGATGACAAAATTGAGGTCCAAGTTCTGTATTGTCCATTTTCACTTTTGCTGTTCAGAAGTTTAGACCCTCAATGCTTTAACATGTGATAAAAACCTGGTTTGTCATAATTTTGACAGACTCGTGTTTGTCAAAGTCTTTTGACAAGCAAGAGTATACTTTGCACAACATCACATGCATATGCCTATTAATTTTACTGTAGATTTTGTAAGTTTAAGTCATAAGAAAGCAACAAGCATAACTCAAATTTAAACCAAGAAGCATGTTTGTACTTTTTGCACTCATCTTGTAAAACAACTTACAAAACCAACATTCAATTTTTAAAGAATTTTAACCAACCAATCTCACATTGCAATATGAACAAATTTGTTAGCAAACATAAGATAGTTGTTCACATAATTTTATATTATTTTCCACATAATTTAGGAAAATCTTCAGTAGACAGTATACAAAGAAGCCAGGCAAACAGAGGTCTAAATTCAAGTCAGAGAAGTCAGAGGGTTGTTGAAGAATGTGATCTTCCCCATCTCCCTCTACAAGAGAGAGCCAAGAAACGAAAATCAAAAACTGGGCATTCTTCAGATCTCAGGTAAGGAATTGGTAGAAAAATATTAGTCGTACTCAATGTTGACTTCTGAAAGTCTTTTCTTGTTTGTACTTTATATTAATTTCTAGATGTGTTCTTTGGTTTTTTTTTGTTGTTGCTTAGTTGATGTATCATCGGTTTATACCAAGGATACTGAAACTTTTTCACATCATTCTGGACATTTTGAGATGTCTTGAAAGGTGGTTTCCCTTTTTAAACCGTTGAATTCATATTAGTTTCATGGAATCAAAAAACTTTGTATTGACGGTTTGAACACATTTTAAGAACAAATCATGAAATACACAATTTAAAATTGAGATGCTTTTAATGTTTTAAAACTGTAACTTTCTCAGGAATCCACCACGCTACTTTCGATTTTGAAAAATGAACTAAAAATCAGGATACATCTATGGGGTTGGTTCTGTTTTTTAAATGGCAAGAAATAATTGTATTTTATGCTTTATTACCTGTAAAGGTTTTTAAATATAACTGATAATAGTTTCACTCATTTAATTTGGCATGAAATAATTTTGCATTTTATGATTAGTGTCTTATCTCACATATACCTATTACATAGTAAATAAAGATAAAGCTTGACTTGTTAAAAATAAATTACTTTTTCTACGTAATTAAATAAAAGTTTTAATTTAAATTTGGAATTGCACAAAGTAACTTTATAATATTAGTTCTGAGCTTAATCAGTTCTGTCAGATGTGAAGATTACAAAGTGATTAACAATCATTAGCAAATATCTCCAGGAGGCATTTATATTGTAATTAGGAGGACCCTCAGGTTTATCGTGCTGTATCTGAGTAGCCAATATAGGAAAAGAATTGCAAAACAAAAATTAGTACAAAATGGTGATTTAAAAAACCTAATCTCAAGGAATGACGGACATTATTTCTATAGATAGTTATTTTCTTGACCTAAATCTAAGGTACTATTTTGGTCATTGGCCTTTCAGACTGGCAAATATGAACATTTGTTGACCTTGGATATACTCCACATGTCCTTTTTATATAAAAATAAACAGATGTGGTATAATTGTCAATGAGACAACTCTCCATCAGAGACCAAATGACATAGAAGTTAACAACTATGTTCAGTCTATATCAGATATTTCAGAATATTTTTTTAGTTTTTGTCTCGCCTTGACGGAGTCAAAAAGCGAGACATAGGTATGCTGTTTCCGTCCGCGACAGCGGTGGCGGCGTCAACAATGTGTTAGTTTGTGATTAGGTCTAGTTCATGGTGAACCACTAGTGGTAGGTCAATGATATTTGGTATGCAGTTGTATTAGCATTGGCACATCTCATTACCATGGAGATTATTTGGCCCTGCCCCCTCAGTCAAGGTCTATTGACTTTGAAACTTTTCATAGTTTACATGTATTAGTTTGTGATTAGGTCAATTTATGGGGAACCACTAGTGGTAGGTCAATGATATTTGGTATGCAGTTGTATAAGCATTGGCATATCTCATTTCCATGGAGATTATTTGGCTCCGCCCCCTTATTCATGGTCTATAGACTTCGAAAATTTTGCTAAGTTAACATGTATTAGTTTGTGATTAGGTCAGTTCAAGGGGAACCATTAATGGTAGGCCAATGTTAATTTGTGTTCAGTTGTATAAGCATTAGCACATCTCATTTCCATGGAGAATATTTGGCCCCACCCCCTCAGTCATGGTCTATTTACTTTGAAATTTTTGCTTAGTTTACATGTATTAGTTTGTGATTAGATCAGTTTAAGATGAACTGCTAATGTTAAGTCAATGACATTTGGTATGCAAATTTATTTGCATTTGCAAGTATCGTTTCCATGGAGATTATATAGCCCCACCCCTGATCATGGTTCATTGACTTTGAAACTTTTACATAGTTTACAAGTTAGTTTGTGTTTAGGTTTGTTTAAAGGGAACGACTTATAATAAGTCAATGGTATTTGGTATGCAGTTGTATTAGCATTGGCACATCTCATTCCATGGAGATTGTTTAGCCATGTACCTTCAGTCATGGTTCATCTACTTTGAATATTTGCATAACTTACATGTTAAAGTATTGCTATTTTAATTTCAACATTTGCATTATCTAAATTACAAAAAGGCTAGACATATTTTTATGATAACAGTTTATTTGTGTAAGTAAGCCCTCTCCAACTGATTTTTATGCCCCACCTACAATAGTAGAGGGGCATTATGTTTTCGGTCTGTGGGTCCGTTCCTTCGTCCGTTCATCCATCTGTCCCGCTTCAGGTTAAAGTTTTTGGTCAAGGTAGTTTTTGATGAAGTTGAAGTAAAATCAACTTGAAACTTACCACACATGTGCCCTATAATATGATCTTTCTAATTTTATTGCCAAATTAGAGTTTTGACCCCAATTTCATGGTCCACTGAACATAGAAAATGATGGTGCAAGTGGGGCATCCGTGTACTATGGACATTCTTGTTACAGTTTGTTTTCATGTTGTGCTGTTACTGTACTGTCCCAATTTAGGGTAGGGTTGAGTGCTCTCAAACATGTTTATCAACACCACATCCTGCATGTGCCTGTCCCAAGTCAGGAGTCTGTAATCCAGTGATTGTCATTGGTTGCATGTCTGTCATATCTTTTGTTTTTTATTGTTTTATCATAAATCAGAATTGGTTTTTCATGTTGGAATTTTTTTCATTTTCTCATGTCGGGCCATTTATAGCTTACTTTATGGTATATGTTTTGCTCATTGTTGAAGGCCATTCAGTGCCCTTTAGTTTTTACATCCTTTTTCTTTGGTTGCTGGTGGATAGTTATCTCATAGACAATCATATCATATCTCCTTATTTTTATATTCGACATTTCTTTTCTGGGTTATACTCACAAACAATGTAAGTTTGATTTCTAGATTTCTTCTCTGTATTTTTTTGTTGGGTTGATGCTTCATTGGTATGTATCTGTCATATCATTTATTCACATTACTTAAATTTCTAAATTTGATACTTCAGAATATTTGATAATTTATGGGGGGGAAATTTTGAACAGGGACAATATTAATCAAACATTTGTTAAACAACTCCCTTGCAAGATTTCAATACTTTTATGATTTTGTCAAAAGCTGTTATTAAAACTGTCTGACAGCTGTTAAACCAGGTGAGTTTAAGTAAAATCTAAATTAGATCCTTGAATCATGATGTTTACATGCTAATTCTAGTTCGAGCTTTTGCAATAATTCAAATTGAACTGACCTAGACTGTTTGACAAATCAGACAATTTTTATCATTTAAACAACCAATGAAAACAAAAATTCTTATTTTTGAAAGGTATTGAATTAGATTTAAAAAAAATGGGGAATGAATTCAACTAAAACAGAAAATAGAATAGTTTCTTAACCTTTTGAAACGAAAAAATGAGGATTAATCTAAATAGATATTTTCTAGTCTGCAACATGAAGTATTTACACTTTATTGTTCATTATTGAATCATTTTTCGGTGATCACTAAAAAAATTCAGCCTTCAATCAAATTCATTGTGCTGAAGTGAGACTTTTTTTAAAACCTTAATTAGGACATTAATTTGATATCCCACGTCCCTAAAAATTGTTTTGAATGCCCAAATTAGGAATATCCATACCTCCCAAAAATATGTGTTAGAAATATCCCAAATAGTGAAAACAAAATGATTGACCATTTGTTTCTCATAAAACAACCATAAAAAATCTTTTTTATAGTTTTTTTTCTTTTTTTACCTTTCAGAAGAGGTATTTCTTCAAGTGATTCTGACAGTGATTCACAGTTGCCTTGTAGACAAAGGGAAACAACTCCAGTTTTATCTGATTCTGAAGAATTTTTTCCTAATCCAATGATGGAAGATGAGATTCGTACTACACATAGTGCAACAGAAAGCTATAAGTCTGCTATGGAAAATCTGAGAGGTCATGTCAATCGTAAGACTGTCCCTTCACAAAGTGGTGTGCCAACCAGTAAACAGCAGCAGACGTCAGCCTTAATTGATGCAGAAATCTTTGTAGATGATTGGTTGATAGATGATATGCAACAACCAACCAAAAGACAGAAATTAGACATAAATGGTGTTTTCTCATCAAATACTTCTAGAAAGAAAAGTGAGGAGGTCCTATCTGGAAAAGCTTCTTCAGCTAGCATAAAGAAAAACAGAAGTATTATTTTTGACGATGATATAAATATTGACACAAGTGTTGATATCCATGGCAACAATAGAATTGGTGATGATAACATTTTGATAGATGAAAATGATATAAGTATCATATCCCAAAGTACACAATTGCCCTCAATTCGACCTCTACAGAAAACAAAACCTCGCCAATTAAGTTTGACAAATTTTGCAGTCAGAGTATCTGAAAACAGGTCTGTTTCTCAGGACACAGCAGGAATTGAGAATACCACATCTTTTCTTGCTACAATTGGGCCCACAAATACACAGACTGCCCTTGATAGTACCCCTTCATCACACAGGGATACAGTTGGTCCTTTAATGAGGGTCAAGGTCAGAGTAAAGGATAAACTTTTGCTTATTCCTGTGCCCAATAGGCAAGTCTTTTTAGTATATTTTTCATAAGCCAGTTATTAACACTAATATATGATTAGAAAGAAGCTATTCCCTTATGTGTTTTATGAATAAATGATTAAATATATTGTCCTATTATGAATTGCACCTTAAAAATGACATCATTTCTGTTTGAGATATATATATACATTTTGTAGTGCAAGAAATATTGGCAAAGAATACTCAGTTTGCAAAATATTTTAGGAGGTGATTTTTTATTTTTTTTTCAAAATGAATTATATGTGAAAAACAGAGACTTTTGACAGACAGTGAAATACTGTGGATTCATTTATTTTCGTGGGTATCAATTTTCGTGGATAGAGAAAAAAAGACGTTTTGTGGTATACGTAAATTCGTGGATCGCTGATTAGAACAAAAAAATAAATTCAGATACGTAATTCGTGGATTTCTTTTTGATTTAGGAGATCACATAACCTCCTTGGTTTGATCAATAATAACACAAAAAAAAAGAAGGAATTCATTGAACAAGTTTTGAATTGTCAAAATCCTCGCTTGGTCATTCTAGGTTAAAGTGTTCATTGAAAACTTCTACTACAATAATGGACAGAGACAACTAATTATTTGTTTGTTTTACAATTTATAAATTCTTGTCGAAATTTTATAAGGCATCCAAAACTCTATGATTGAAAGCTCATTTCCCTAATCACGATATAATAAACAGTCATATAAGTAAAAGGTGTGAAAATAAATGTTCCTGTCATAAACAATATTACTTACGGCAATATCCCCATACTTAATCCTATTGATTTTTAATCACCAGTAAACCAAACTATGACACGGTAATTACCAAATTTTCCATGAACAGTTTTAATAAATTTTAAAAAGTAAATTATCACTGATATTCAATATATTTATTATTGATTTAATCAAAATACTTGTATCTTCTTTCAATAAAAAAAAGTGTTATGTTAACATGTTTATCGTTAGTCAACATTATACTAGAACTGCATAACATAACCGGAAATAAACATCCGACTCCATACACATTTCTCGGGATTATTCTTAGTTGAATTCTTAAATTCGTGGTTCGCTGTGACCCACGAAACCCACAAAAATTGGTATACCACGAATAAAAATGAATCCACAGTAGTCACATTTTTTACATATATCATTTTCAGAGTGTATGAAATATTTGTTTGTTAAAATTTTAGATTTTGATTGTATTTTTTATAAATAGTGAGAAGGAGAAGACGATATCATGGTTATGTCAGGAAGCCGGTCAGAGATATTACAGTATGTGTGGATTACGTCCCTTGTTAACACTCAGTACAAAGGATGGTGCCTTTTTAGCCAACACAGATGAAATTTCACAAGTTCTGTCCAGTAATGAAGAAGTAAGGATTTTGTTTCTCACCTGCAATAAAAGTCTTAGAATGTGAAACAAGTCTATGCTATACCAGTGGTGATGACAACTTTCATTTTTCTCAATTAGAACTGTGTGAATGAATTAATGTAAATTACTGCTTGTGTTGTACTTGGGACTGTTTCCTAACAACAACATTTGCAAACTAAAGCTGTTAGGGTTGTATAAATGCACAGCCTTTTAAAAAACCTGAGGGATATTAAATTAAATACATATGTGAGAGCAGGTCAACACAATTTAGTTTCCACTTGACATGAACCTTAGATTACTGCCAAATAATTAATGTGTATATATACTGTATTTCATTTTCAAGATGCGGCCACTTCTGCAGATAAAGTTATATCTTATAATAGTGGTTTCTTCTGAGGACTTAAATTACAAGGAAAATACTACTCAAAGGTAAAAAAAAATGTCTTATACTCATTTGGCCTCCTTTTGAGAAGTGTTCCAAGAAGGGGATTATTGAACTTGTCTATAACTATTTAATCATTCCTTTTAGGTTGAAGGTGTTGTTGATAGTTGGGATTTACCTCCCCTGGTAGACAGATATCAGCAGGCTTGTACAGCTTTAAATACAGGTAAGATTCATTATATACTTTATATTGCTTTGCAGATACTTCTGACCAAATGTCAGCAGTTGAGACTACATAAATGTGACCATCTTTCAAGGCAACCTAAAGGGTTGACGAGGATAGAAATATGGTCACTTGAACTTCTCATGTGAGCAGAAAATTCCATCCTGTCAGGTGTGTGGTTAGCTCTGGGAAATGTATAATTACGCAGTGATATAATAAATGTGATGCCTTACATATAGGGAGAGTGCCGAGTCCTCTGCATGGTAAAGATCTTCCTGTTGCTAGACACTTTTTTTTTCTTTTTATACGCCCGTTTACGGGACGTATTATGGTATACAGTTGTCCGTCTGTCTGTCCGTCTGTCCGTCCGTCTGTCCGTCCGTCCGTCCGTCCGTCCGTCCGTCTGTCCGTCCGTCGTCAACATGTCGGACATTAACTCAAAAACGCTTTAACCAATTTGCATAAAACTTTGGTGAATTGTTTATATCTATTGACGTGAGCTCCCTTTCGTTCTTTATAAATTTTAGATTTTACGTTTTCGAGTTATGGGGTTTTATTCATTAAAAAAAGGGGGATTTTCCAGTTTTTGGACAATAACTCAAGAATGCTTTCACCAACTTGCAAGAAATTTTGGTTAATTGTTTATATCTATTGACATGAGCTCCCTTTTGATTTTCATAAATTTTAGATTTTACGTTTCCAAGTTACAGGGTTTTATTCATAAAAAAAAGGGGGATTTTCCAGTTTTCGGACAATAACTCAAAAATGCTTTCAGCAGTTCTCATGAAACTTTGATGAATTGTTGATATCTATTGATGTAAGCTCCCTTTAGAATTTTATAAATTTTAGATTATACATTTCCGAGTTATGGGGTTTTATTCATTAAAAAAGGGGGGATTTTCCAGTTTTCAGACAATAACTCAAGAATGCTTTCGCCAACTTGGAAGAAATTTTGGTTAATTGTTTATATTTATTGACATGAGCTCCCTTTTGATTTTTATAAATTTTAGATTTTACGTTTCCAAGTTACGGGGTTTTATTCATAAAAAAAAAGGGGGATTTTCCAGTTTTCGGACAATAACTCAAAAATGCTTTCAGCAATTCATATGAAACTTTGGTGAATTGATTATATCTATTGATGTAAGCTCCCTTTAGAATTTTATAAATTTTATTTGTTTATAGTCTGACAACAGATTTACTAAGTATTGCGCAACAGCATAGTGTATTGCACAACAGCAACAAATCTTTAATTGAATATAAAATTCAATTCATATAACCAATTTCAAGTTCTTTGACAACATTTATTCAGAAACCTATAATATGTCAAATATTTAATTACAATCCAAATTCAGACCGGTTTCAAGCTTGAATATTGTGTCCATTTTTGCCCCAACTGTTCAGGGTTGGACCTCTGCGGGCGTATCCAGCTGCACTCAGCGAAGCAGTTTATTTCCAGTGGTAGCCGAAATCTCATGCCCCCTATCCAAGTTGTTCAACTCTGCAAAATCTGTCAATGAAATTTGTTGGTGTTTTGTTCTACTGAATTGGTATGAAAAAATTGCCATTTGCATCTTGAAGTTTGGCAAACTTGGCCACAATCATCCTTTGGGTATCTTGTTTTGAAAATATGTTATATGTTCTGCCTTCGAACTTACATGGCCAACATGTTATTTTGAAAACTGCTAAAGATAGAGAAAATCTGACGGGATGAATGTTCAAAATGCTGAGGTCTTCCTACTGTCCATTTACACCAAAACTCTCCTTACAAGAGTAAATGCCTTTAATGCCTTTAAATGACATGATATAGTCTAATAGATAGAATGAATGTAAGGTGTTCATGTCCATCTGACCTTGGTCTTTCTGTAATGCTTCATATGCCAATGCTTACTTTTGATCAATACCAGAAGATCTGTTTTTTCAGATATTACAAGTAGTAGGTCAACTTTTGTGTGTGTGTGTTTGTTTAGAGTGATGGTAAGGTAAATTGACTTTCATTTTCATGGTTTAAATGACTAAGTGGATGTGATATATGTAGTGAGACCTTGATCTTAAAGACTTGCAGTATATACATTTGTAATTCAATGATAATTAGTGAAGTCCTATTTGTGTTAGTACTGAAACCTATCTGTAAGTGTGGTTTGGGGTGTAGAAATAGGGTAATCTGGACATATCTTATCCCACATTAACACTCTTGCTATTGAGTGTCATTCTTTTGGCTGTTTGGAATGAATAAATATGCAGTCAAATCTAGCTTGAATGGCGACATAAAATCTGATTCCTGGTGTAGGGAAAGCACTACACACTTTCACATGTTAAAGAACCCAGTCATCAACTTTTTGAAGATTCCATTTGTTGCCTTTTACATGGCAAAACTTCTGCTCCTTTCAAGGGAGAGGCATAAGATACCAAAGGGATATTCAAACTCATAAGTCAAAAACAAACTGTCAATACCATGACAGTACACAAAACACAACACAGAAAACTAAAGACTGAGCAACACCACATATCCTCATTTTTAATTGGCAGTAAAAGAAATGCCATATCTTCAATCTGTTTGACCTGCTTTGCAGAACCTAGCTATTTGATTTATAGTTTTATAATTACATTGCATGTATGTTTCATTGTGATACGTTATTTTGATTGGGTAACTGCAATCTCACGTCATTCTAAAATTAACCTTCATTTCAAAATGAAATGTAACATTCATGATGACACAAGCTTCCACAATAAAGTGCACATGTGAATAAAAGAAAAACTTGATAGAAATCATGTTTTCATGATCCTAGCAAAAAAGTGTAATTATAAGTATGAATGCTTTTAGTAATTTTATAGGGTTGTAAAAATGTTATTGGGCACATTTTTAGAATGAAGCGCTTCTGCGCTTACAAAATGTACTTCGGTCAATGTTTTTACACCCCAATAAATTTACAAATAGAAGCATTCAATTTTTAATTATATTTGTTCCTGTCCTGAATATGCATGAAATATTAGCCTCAGGACATTGAGCAAACAACAATCAATCTATTAATCATGTTTGTTATGAAAGGTTCATGAAAACGTTTTTCTAGAGAGTGTGTATCATTGTTCCTTCATTGGTATAAAATAATGAATTTATCTTTTGTAAATAAATGCTCTATACGTATATAATATCACTCCCAATATTTGAGTATGAGCTCAAAAATTTGATACATGTATTATTGTGAATCATTTGTAACTGATAATATAATGTGATTATTATTAATAGCAAAATTAAATTATTGTCCTATATCTTTTTTCTTACATTAATAAACTTTGAATTAATTTTGTAATTTACAAATATAGTTTTCTAAAATCTTGCAAATTTTGATATCACAATATTCATATTCTTTGATCATAGCTTAATTTTCCTTTATCTTTACTTTGTAATGTGAATATGTAGGTTGCTTATGTTCATCCTTCACTATATTTACTTCAGTAAAAATATTTGAGGAGGCAAAGTACTATGTTGTTTTAGTTGATTTTAAATATTGTAAGACATGACTGGCTAATATGATAGGAAGAAGGTAGTTTAATCCACACATTATCATAAGTCTTTAATTCTAAAGCCACAGCAGCAGATCCTGGTGTCCAGTAGCCATTAGTATCGCCTGACATAAATTGCGAGTGTATAGTATTAGAATTTTTCATAATAGATATATTTGCATAAGTGGTAGTTGACACTTGTGTTGTTACAATGTAATAATATCCAGGTATTTGACAAGTAAATTTACCGGTTGATTTAAAAGATGATAGGTTGGATACACCTATAGATGTTTTAATATCTGGAAACTTTTGTGGTCCAGATTGTGTAGAATCAACATCATTACAACCAGTAACAACAACTGAAATAAAAAGAATGTTATGTCATTCCTGAGACATTGCCTTATTTTAAAATATTATGTTTTTGATCCATTTGATATATATTGATTATTTATCCTATAATTATTTCTTTTATGCCTAACAATGCACATATCACATCTGAAATCCTACAACAAATCGTTTTTTGAAATTGTTCATTAATTTTTTGTCAGTTTTGCTAATAATGATATTGTTCCTGAAGTTTCTCTTAAATCCTTTAAATTATTCCATAAAGTAAAAGGTGAAGAATATCAATTTTTTCCATTTTAAAGACACAAAAAGCATAAATATGTGTAAACATGCCATATCAGACATTGTCCCTATAATGACTGTATTGAGTTCAGCTAATGACTTGGAATATATAGATATGTAACATCAATATGCTAAAACAAACACTTAAAGTCATATATATACATGATATATATGATAAAGTTGAGCTTAAATGATAATTCAGTTCAATGAAATATACCTAGTCAAAAGTCTACATTCTCTTGAAAGCTTAGTTTAATGCAACTGTTAAGATGAATAAAGAGTTTTCATTAGAAGTGAAATAAAGAGGTTATGACACATTATTTGCAATTTAATTCTAATATCATCCCTTATCATATCAGATCCCTTGTTAAAGGCTTGGGTTCAGTAATATATGAATATATATATGATATCAGGTTATTGGTATAGAAAATGATGTGAATTGTAAGGCCGTACAAAATATTACTTTTTTAAGCCATGAATAAAGCGGTAAAAACTTTTAAGCAATTTTATTAGAGGGGGATAAGAAAATGCTGATCTCAATCTGATTTCATCCTGTCCAATATTGTAAGCACACTCAAACCAATAGTTCTAATCAGATTTTTTTTTTAATTATGTCAAAGGTAGGCAATATCTAAAAAAAAAAAAAATGAAAATCAGGGCCATTCCTTATTTTTGGACAAGTGATACCCCTTAGAAATATGTAAATAATATGAAAATCTACATTGTAAGTGGTCTCATGCCAAAATTTTTCATTGAGGTTTTGTGAAATTTATATAAAAGGTTTATTTCAACAAGGATGATTCTATATCATTTAGGGTCCCTTAGCAACAAAAATTTTTACAAACTGCCAAATATAATTAAAGTTAAACTTCCCAAACTTCCCAAACAAGAAAATTAAGCTGTATTCAGTATTTTTGGAAATGCTTGGCTTATGTCTGACCTGCCTTCACAGTAGATTGGTTTAACTCAATAATGAAAGTCTTTCAAAAATTCTGGTTTACTAGAAACAATATCAGTATTTTCAGAAGTAATAGGGCTGTGAAATGATTAAAGTATATCAAAGCAGAAAAGTCTTACAGTATTACTTTGACAAATTTGCATATTAGTCTTAAATTCCCAATAAATTGCCTATGGGAGACATTTTTACAACATATGGAATCATCCCTGCATCAACATCTTCTCGAATGAGTTAGAAAATTTAACCCCATTGGTTATGATGAGGAATTATGATCTTGGAAATATAATAAATAATATGGAATATCAATATTGTTAGTGCTCTCATGCTTACATTTCTCATCTGACTGATAAATTTTATGTCAAAGGTTAACATCAGCAATATCTTAAAAGTGTTAAAAATTACAAGCAATACACTTTTTCGCAGGGATTTCAATAAATAGGGCCCAGAAAAGTATATGTTTGTTTCTTGCTGCCCCACCTACCTAGATTTACCCTCCTACCATTTTACATTTTATAACCATCAGGAGAAAAACAAAATAGTTTTATTTCACAATTAGCTAAGAATCCTCACTTGCTTACATTTTTGTTAAAATTCACATGTGTAAAAGCTAAAATCGTCTTCAATGAAGATTGATTGCAAACTGCTACTTCAAGTTCAGTTGTAATAAGTAGGGATGTCAACTTTACTAATCGAGTACTCGCTCGGAAAACATCTACAAAATGGAAACACAAATTATACCCATTTTTGTCTCGCCTGCGACGAAAGTCGCAGAAAGTGAGACATAGTGGCGGCGGTGACGACGGCGTAAACTATTTGTATAAAGCTTTATATTTCAGAAGGTAGAAGACCTGGATGCTTCATACTTTGTATGCAGATACCTTATGTTACGAACTTTCCGTCTGTCATATGTCCAATGTCCTTGACCTTATTTTCATGGTTCAGCGACTGCTTGAAAAAAAGTTTAGTTTTTTTGTTATGTAAATTTCTCACTTATTATGAGTAATAGGATAACTATATTTGGTATATGGGTTCCTTGCAACGTCTACATGTCCATCAGACAGGGTTCACCTGACCTCAGCCTCATTTCATGGATCAGTGATCAAGGTTAAAGTTACGTGATTAGGTCCGTTTCTCAGATACTACAAACAGTAGGTCAGCTATATGTGGTGTATGGAATGATTATAAGGGATACATGTCAGTCTGGCAGGTTTCATCTGACCTTGACCTCATTTTCACGGTTCATTGGTCAATGTTAAGTTTTTGTGTTTTGGTCTGTTTTTCTAATACTATAAGCCATTGGTCAACTATATTTGGTGTATGGAATGATTGTAAGGTGTACATGTCTGTCTGGCAGGTGTCATTTGTCCTTGACCTATTTTCATGGTTCATTGGTCAATGTTAAGTTTTTGTGTTTTGGTCTGTTTTTCTAATACTATAAGCAATAGGTCAACTATATTTGGTGTATGGAATGATTGTTAGGTTTACATGTCTGACTGGCAGGTGTCATTTGTCCTTGACCTCATTTTCATGGTTCATTGGTCAATGTTAAGTTGTTGTGTTTTGGTCTGTTTTTCTAATACTATAAGCAATAGGTCAACTATATTTGGTGTATGGAATGATTGTAAGGTGTACATGTCTGTCTGGCAGGTGTCATTTGTCCTTGACCTCATTTTCATGGTTCATTGGTCAATGTTAAGTTGCTCTTGTTTGGTCCTCTTCTCAGATACTATAAGTTATAGGTCAACTATATGTGGTGTATGGAATGATTGTAAGGTGTGCACGTCTGTCTGACAGGTTTCATCTGACCTTGAGCTTATTTTCATGGTTCATTGGTCAGTGTTAAGTTTCTGTTGTTTGGTCTTCTTCTCAGATGCTATAAGTAATTGGTCAACTATATTTGGTGTATGGAATGTATTTTATTATTTAACTGCTGATTACTTACATTGAAATAGATTATTTTATAAAAATCTTTAAATAACATTAATAATGATAATGAATAATAAAAACTTTTAAGGGATCATTACTAAACCGTGATTAATAAAAACATTGGAAGGTGTGAAAATGTTAAAATAAGGTCACTCATGCATGAATGTTTAACATAGAATACAGTTCACTCCAGTCCCTTCGTATATGTAAGAGAATGATAATCCCTTTCTTCATGATTAAGTACGAGCGTTAGCGAGTACTTATCATGAAGTAAGGGATTATCATTCTCTTACAATCTTAGAATATTGTAAAGTGCTCAAGGCTCAAGTGATCTATTCAAGAATTAGTTTCATTGTCAGTGCAATGTGTATAATTGATTCATGACTTCCTTTTTCGGCATGTCATTTATAGATTAGTTTTAGTGAAGTGAGGACTTTCTTATCATTAGGGAAATATTTTTAAAAAAAAGGCGTTATAATTATTAGGTGACACAACAGTAGAAAGAAAAGGTATGAATTGTATGTTTCCTGATTGTGAGTATAAATGTAAATCATGTAATATTTTAGTGAGGAATCATCCTTTTTTTATTTACAGTTTAAACCAATTAATAAATTTGAGTTACAACTAAATTTTATTTCACAGCCAATATTTTGGTCCGGCTTTTTACATCAAATACTGTTTCATTATGTCAGGGAAATGTTCAAAAATAATGCCCTTTAAAGTTTTTAATATGTTTAAAATTAAATTCCTGTTTTTTTTATCGGAATACATGTATTGGAAATAACTATTCTCCCCAACCGCTGATCAAGTAATCAAAGTTTTGGAAAGCTGAAGATTTAGTTATTTTTTATCTGAAAGATTTTTTTTCTTTTTTTTGCATTGCTTTGGTATTGTTTAATTTTATAGTAATTTGAAGTTATTAATATTTTCATAATAACATTCATGATACCAATTTTACTGCACCAGTAAACTTCAACTTATTTTGAGATTTTTGTTTGTTTCACAATTCAACTTTTAGTCAGTTTCAATCACTGTGTGATAAATCCTTTCAATCTGATAAATGTGCTTCAGGGCAGTTGTAACTCATTTATAGAAACTCTTTGTTTTGAACTGTAAATAGACCCAAATAATAGGATAATCCCTTACTAAGAACATGATTTACATTCATTCTTCACATAAAAGAAGCATCCAATCCTACAATTTCATTGGTCGAGAGTACTTTCCTATATTCTAAATAAAGATTAATTGCCTGAATATGTACAGATTGAAGAACTTTTGAAATTTTGTTTGCACAACAGAATCACATTTACTGATTTTTGATACATATGAAATAAGATAAGTATTGAGATAAGTAAAAAATATTTTAGCATAGCAACATAAATAGATAAATAGATAATATGAAAATATGACTTTTTACAATATTTTGATCAAAGATTGAAGATAATTTTAGTTTTTTTTTTCTTTTTTTTTTGGGGTGGGGGGGTCTTTCAGGTTCATCTCAAGGAATTGACAAATATTTATCCAGTTTCTGCAATGCCTTAAAACTTTTCCTTGTGCACAGGTTTGTCTGTACTCAAGAGGAAATAAAAAAAAAATGGCCATATTTGTCAATCCCTTCTGATGAACCTTAAATCTAGATGAAAAATTATTTCATAAGAAATTTCAAAGTTTGCTTTTAGTAGTCATTTGACTTAATGTTTCAAAAAAAAATTTTGTATAATGCGATTTTATTTACTCAAATGTTGTTGCTGTATTTGCCTGTGATTTATTAGCCAAAAGTGTATCCCATGTGATTTTATGATGCTGTTTTTTCTAAAAACATGTTACTCAACATGAATGTAAAAGCATTACAGACCTATATTTAAGCCTAAGGTCAAGGTAACTAAAAAAGACTAAAATTTGAACATAGGTTTCAGGATGTATTCAATGGGATTGCAACTTAACTTGGATATGTGGCTACATAAATTAACAGAAAGAAGAGGAAGATCCCTGGCTATTGTTTTTCAAGTCGCTATGTCTTAGTTTGAGGTCCTATTTACTAACAATAGATTTGCAGAAGACCATATTACTGTCTTAAATCATGATTTATGTGGGGGCCATGGTAATGTGAGCTTGCTCACTAAAGGTCTATTATATTTCGTTAAGAATGTCAAGAACTGTAAAACAAAATCTACAAATATGCAAATATTACTCAAATCATCAGATCACTTATTCAAAGATGTATTTCCCTTTCATGCTTTTAATGCTAAGTAGTCACTTCCTTTTTAAGCTTACCTGGCCAAAATTGCCATTGTGAGCAATTGGCATCCATCGTCTGTCTTCATTGCATACGTAGGCCGATAATTTTTACAAAAATCTTCTCCTGTTTGAAGATACAATAACGAGAATTTTTCATCAAAGTCTAATCAAGGAGTGGAGGTATACTCTGCAGGACATAGCGGGCAACTTCTCGTTGAATTAGCAAATGTGTCATTTTTATATTGTGTTTTACAGATATGTATACATGCAATGATAGTGATCTTCGGCAGGGGCGGTGGCAGGGGCGGCAGCAGCAGCATTGGCAGGGGTATGGGCAGCAGCAGCGTCATTATCTCATTACTTACAGCTTAATATTTCTAATGCCTTATGTGACAAAGTTTCTGTCAGTCATATGTCCATTGTCCTTGACCTCATTTTCTTGGTCCAGCAACTACTTGGAAAAAAAACTGTATGGTTTTTGTAATGTGATTTTCTCAATTATTATGAGTAAAATGATAACTTTATTTGGCATGTGCGTACCTTGCATGGTTCACATATCTGTCAGACATATTTCATTTGACCTTGACATCATTTAATGGATCAGTGAACAAGATTTAATTTTCATGATAAAGTCCATATCTCAAATTCTATCACCAATAGGTCTTCTATATTTGGTGTATAGAATGATCGTAAGGTTCACATTTCCAACTGGCAGATAAGTGATAAGTTCATAAAATTTTCTGTATGGAATGAATGTTATGTGTATATGTCTGTCTGACAGGTGTCATCTTACCTTGACCTCATTTTATGGTTCATTGGTCAAAGTTCAGTTTCCTCAATGAGGTTTGTTTCTAAGATACTTTAGGCAATATATGTTAAATAAATTTGGTGTATGGAATGATTGTAAGGCCTACATGTTTGTCTGATAGGGTTTATCTCACCTTGACTTCATGTTCATTCATCATTAAAATGTTAATTTAATGTAAAGCTTATATAAACTTATTTTTTTTACTTTCAACATAAATTCAATTATGAACACTAAAACAGGCGAGACATTTCAGTGTGTCCACTCTTGTTCAGTATTGTTGGTCGTTGTTTAAACTCTCAACATTATTACCTAGGACTAGATAATAGTCACATGAATTGTTAACCATAATTAATAGCTCATTTAGAAAAATTATATTGTCAACTATTTCTGGAACAAGTCGATTTCTCAACTTAATTGTTACGTAATTAACAGTCTTGCTGATGAAAATATTTGCTCTGACGGTACAGTGGTGGTGGAATGACTATTAAGACATGATTAGCTAAAAGTGTAAGCTTTGGAAAGGTGTTATTGTTCATAGCCAACGTCTGTTCAATGAAATTTTGAATGACAATTAAACGTAAACATTCGAAATGTATCTTAATTAAGTCTCCCAAACGAAGACTTATTGTTTTTGCTCAGTTCTTATTATTATTATTATGGCACCCTCAACGGAGTTGGGGTGACATATTGTTATTATACGTTTCTTTTTTTCTTATTATTATGGCACCCTCAACGGAGTTGGGGTGACATATTGTTATTCTATGTTTCTTTTTTTCTTATTATGTCACCTGATCGACAATGTCGGGTGACATATTGCTTTTCCTCTGTTTCTTTATTATTTTTATTATTATTATTGTCAAGATCCCCACCCCTAAACCATATATATTCTGGTTTGTCATGCTAAGATGGTTTGAATGATATACAGGGTTGGTCCCTAGGGGTCATCTTGACCCCCTGCCATTTTGAGAAAAGTTCTAATATCTTGTAAATAGTCGAGATCCCCACCCCTAAACCATATATATTCTGGTTTGTCATTATAAAGCACATGAAATGAAATACAGGGTTAGCCCCCAGGGGTCACCCCAACCCCATGCCTTTGAAGAAAGTTCTAATATCTTGTAAGTGGTCAAGATCCCCACCCCTAAACCATATATATTCTGGTTTGTCATGCTAAGATGGTTTGAATGATATACAGGGTTAGTCCCCAGGGGTCATCCCGACCCCCTGCCATTTGAGAAAAGTTCTAATATCTTGTAAATGGTCGAGATCCACCCCTAAACCATATATATTCTGGTTTGTCACAATAAAGCACATGAAATGAAATACAGGGTTAGCCCCCAGGGGTCACCCCCACCCCATGCCTTTTAAGAAAGTTCTAATATCTTGTAAGTGGTCAAGATTCCCACCCCTAAACCATATATATTCTGGTTTGTCATGCTAAGATGGTTTGAATGATATACAGGGTTAGTCCCCAGGGGTCATCCCTACCCCCTGCCATTTGAGAAAGTTCTAATATCTTGTAAATGGTCGAGATCCCACCCCTAAACCATATATATTCTGGTTTGTCATGATAAAGCATATCAAATGAAATACAGGGTTAGTCCCCAGGGGTCATCCCCCACCCCCTGCCATTTGAGAAAGTTCTAATATCTTGTAAATGGTCGAGATCCCCACCCCTAAACCACATATATTCCTGTTCGTCATGTCTCGAACATTTGAATGACGTATACGGTCAGTCCCCAGGGGTTCCCCCCACCCCCAATGTTCTAATATCTTGTAAATGGTCGAGATCCCCACCCCTAAACCATATATATTCCTGTTCGTCATGTCTCGAACATTTGAATGACGTATAGGGTCAGTCCCCAGGGGTTCCCCCCACCCCCAATGTTCTAGTATCTTGTAAATGGTCGAGATCCCTACCCCTAAACCATATATTTATTCTGGTTTGTCATGCCAAGATGATTTGAATGATATACAGGGTTAGTCCCCAGGCATCACTAATGCATATAACTTTACTGGACCAAACCAATTTTCACTGGACTTTGCCCAATGTCAGGCGACCGTGGGAATTACGAATTATGGGAGCTTCGTTTGGGAGACTTCGTAACAGCATCCTGTTACAATTATTTCTTGTTTTGATTAATATTCAGTTTCCCAGGTGGCGCTCTTAATAAAAATAGTTTTTCTTTAAGAAGGCAACAACATTCTAACAAGAAATCAATTAGTCGAGTATCATTTTGGTGTTCTATACTCGGTGCTACAGAGCGATACTTGAGTACCTGAGTACTCGTTGACATCCCTAGTAATAAGCTATAACGTAATTGAATCCTGAGAAAACGTAATTTTTCTGATCAATTATTTTGATGTGAGTATGCCACTTGGAATTAGAAGTGATATGGAAAATTCAAGTATAATGGGGTTTGACATTTTCTACTAGTAATCAGTATCAATCAAGTTACCGGATATTATATTGTGAAATTTTGAAAATTTTAACTGAGGAATCCTGATTTCCATGTTTTGTTTGATTTTTTGATAATAAATGTGGCAATGATAAATTTGTAATTATTTTCTTTAATTTTTTATTTGTTTTTGGAAAGGGAGTGGTGTCCCATTGCTATCCTGGTGTCAATGATGAGTTTAATTATTGTCAAATATTTGTATTGAACTGTACCTTTTTGTAATTGCTTATCCAGATTTTGCTGAAAAAGTGAAAAAGACAAGTTGTGGTATCTCCCCATTTGTTCAACTTCATTCATGGTGCGGTTAGCTAGTTCTTCAATTTCATGTCTGGACACTGATGTCAGGTTGTGTAAAATTAGAAAATCTTGGTTTTGTCGCTGTTGAAGCATTGCTAAGGACATGTTCTGATTCTTTTCAATGGCTTTATATTGATTATTCATTTTATTCTCCAGTTCATGCTTGGATGATGTGGTCAGATTATATAAAGCTAGAAAATCTTGATTCCTTGCTTGTTCATGGCTGGATAGTAGGTTTATCCTGGAATCAAATGTTTGTACTTGTCCTTGTAGTGTTTGGAGAATTTGTAGCTGATCAATGTTTTTGAGTTGCTCCAGTTTGTCAATTTTCTTTGCAAGAGCAAGGGTTTTGTTCACTGCAGAATTTGTTTCTGCATTACACTTAGTCTCAAGTATGTGCAAGTCTTGCTGCAGATTTGCAATTTTCTGTTCTTGGCTAATTGTGACCTGTTGTTGATTAGTGAAATTTTGAGCTAGCTCATTATACATCTGTTCCTTGGCTGTCAGTTTAACTTGGACTGCATTGTACTTCAATTCGAGTTCCCTGTATTTTTGCTGCAAGACATCAACTGTTTTCTTAGTTTCATTTAAATCATTATGGGATGATTGTGTAGCCAGAATTTGTTCAATAATGTCAAATTTTTGTTGCAGTTGATTGGTTAATAGGTTCAGGCTCCTCTCTTGTTGGTCTCTGTATGTTTCCTGGTCTTGATGGAGTTTATCTAGATCATGAAATAATGATGTATTTGATTTTTGTCCCCATAGTACTGTGCTGTAGTCAGGATGTAGGCTTTCCTGTGAGGGAAGAGGTATTCTTGCTGTCCAGAAGAAAACCATTGGTAATTCCACTCAACACCAATAAAATAAAAGTAACAATCATTGCGTTGACAACTTTTCAGTTTAAGAATGACTGATTTTGTTAATTATTGAAAGATACAAAACATTTATCAGTGTACAGCTTATCTTAAAATTTGATGCACTTGGTAAATCATATGGTATGCAAATATTTATCGCTTAAAGATAGTGTATTAAATTTAAAATATTTGTGTTAATATTGGGTCAGATTAGTTAACGGTAATATCATTCTGATATTATTTGTCAACATTTATTAACCATTTTGTATAACAGTGATGTTAGGGATCAATCCACCATTTAATCAGTCAAATTGTCTTGATGTCTTCATCAACAGTTCGATTATTTCTTCTTCCAGACTTTTCAGTAAATTTTTCAGTTTATGCTTTTGCTGGATACTTCTTTGAATTGTCTGAAAGGGGTCTATTGATAAAAAAAAGTCGTAATTATACTCTACAAGGAAGTGGGGGCAATATTGCAATCACCTTGTCCGTCTGTAGTCAGTCCTTTGTCCTTCTGTCTCTTTATACAACAGATATTTTGGCAGAATCTACTTACTTCATATTTGGTTAGCAGCTTGAAAATTTTGTGATAACTTTAGGATCTGACAGATGCCACCTATTTGCTGATACTTTGAATTTTTCAATTTGTTGAATAAATTTAAAAAAATTGTTTTGAATGAATTTTGAAAAAGTTGTTACACTTTTCTGCAATACTACAGAACAGAATGACTTTTATATTTTGTCAGTAGCTCAACAGTAATGAGTTGTAATTATATGCCACTTTGCCTATCTCTCAGACACCTACTTCCTGGTTTCTTATACTTATATTTCTTTTGACTAATTTTCGCCAGAAGTTCTCTATTTTTTCTTTAGACAACATTGATTGTATGTACAGACCAGCATTCAACTTTTGGTCACTAGCACACTATGTAACAAATTTATCTTACCAACTATCGTAACGTGTGAAATTTAGACTAGTGACCTATCAAATGAGCAAGTCTTCAATACTGTTAGCATTAAGAAACTACTTCCATTGATCCTACAAAAACAGATACCAACAATAACAACTTGTTGGGTTTAAATGTGTTTTATGAATTAATTTCAATCTTAATCATCACTTTCTTCGTCTGTTGAAACGATTTTTTCTCAGTACTGTTTTGTTTTTATAAAGGGACCTAACACCACTACTAACCTTGTATGAAATAAGCCCCGCCTCCCTACTACCTTATAAGGAATATAAAGGGACGTAACACCACTACTAACCGTGTATGAGATAATCCCCGCCTCCCTACTAACCTAATATGAAATATACACGGTCTCCACGAGGGGGCTTTTAACCAACCACATTCCTATAAATGTATAGGAGGTAAGATAAATATAGTTATTGATTTATCTGTCAGTTGTTGTTTTTTTCTAGATGCTAAATCAAATCTTTTATATTAGTAATACAGCAAATTTTTATAATACAATATCCATATTTATGCCATTACTAAAGTTCTGGCTACATGTGTAACGAAGTCAGTAAGTGGATTAAATAACTTTATTATGTAATTACAAAGTTAAGACTGT